CTCTCTCTCTCTCTCTCTCTCTCTCTCTCTCTCTCTCTCTCTCTCTCTCTCTCTCTCTCTCTCTCTCTCTCTCTCTCTCTCTCTCTCCCCCTAAAGGAAATTGCCTGGCATGGTGAGCTCAGTACAGGCAGCCCTGGCGTCCAACAGAATTATGTGCAACGAAAGCCCGAGCAAGAGCAGCAAGGGGTCGCACGGCCGTTTGAGATATACTACATGCACATCAACTTCCACGGGCGAGCGGATCAAGACATCACAAGACAAGAGATTCATGTGAGAGAAAAAGGGAGCCTTCATATTTTGGGGCGGAGCACACAGACAAACGTTACGCTTGCTGGATATTCCCCGAGGGCGGCTCTCCCTCCCAAGAAAAAAAAGATAAGGGGTATAATGTGTCATCTCGTGCATCTCAACCCATCCATACACCTCTCTCAATACGCCCCTTGCCTTTTCATCATGAGGCCCTGCTAGGATGCCGCACTCAAGGCTTTCAGTCCCTTCCACCCCAATCCTGCTCTCTCCCCATGGCCAGAGAGCTATCTCATGCATTGGTCGTCCCAAAAAAAAAACACAAGCCAGGTCATAAATAGCCATCATCCCTCCTGCAATAAATCAGACCGTCGCCATCCTTCGTGTCCACATCGCCAACACCATTGCTGCCGCCCTCTCCCGCCTTGCGTTTGCTTGAGCACTGCCCTTCCCGGCCGGCTGCCAAAAAAGGCAGCTACTCTGAGCGTCCATCTCCCGCGCCGCGACAAAGGAAACATAGCCGACTCCATCCTCTCATGCTGACATTCCAGCCAACTCAGAGACTCCAGATGGCAGCCCTTTCCATCCCGCCGCCGCGGAAACACCAACCGTCCCCCGTTCCGCCATGGCACCAAAAGGCCCTTCATTGCCTTTGCCATTACCATCAACAGTCCAAGGAGGCTGAGGGGAGAAAAAAAGCCCGGCAAAATCGGAGGAGCAGAAGCTCGTCCGATGCTTGACGGTAGCCAACACGCTAGCGTCGAAAAAGGGCAAGGGAAAGAAAAGAAATCCCTCCTCTTTCGGGGAGCAAAGGCAGCAAGGTAGAAAAAAAAAAAGAGCCCACCCATTTATATTGCTCGTGACCAAATAGCCGGCCACCTTCGGCACATGTCGCCGGTCCCATATGAGCCCTTCCGTAATGCAGATGCTGTTCAAAATGCACAAAAGTCCGACCAACCCATGAAAATCTGTAGTGAAGAACAAGGAGAAAGAGTAACAGTAGAACCGAATGCGTGTGCTGGCAACCTCTCGGGGTCTGGTGAATGCGCAAACGTAGCAATGCCCTCTCAATCTCTATCGATGCTTTGCATGAAACAGAGACAGAGAAACACAAGAAATAGAGGAAAGGGAGAAAATAAATAAATAAAAAAGCCTAGTAAAACAGGCCGAAGTTGGGATGTGGTCACCCTTCTCCTATTGGCTCTCGTAAAGCCAGGTCTAAAAGATGTATGAAAACTCCGGACACCGGTCTGGCCGTGTCGAAGCCGAATGAGAAAATGAGAGGAGAACGGAGGAAAGTGATGTCCCGGTCGGCAACGAGAATGTTGGACGGAAGCAATGGCTGCTGCGTGGTTGAGCGTGTGTGTGTGCTTTCAGATAGACAGTAGTGGTTGCGCAAGGAGGTGAGCAAGTCCATCATCCAGAGAAACTCTCTCCATGTACGTCAATCTTCTTGGCCGTCTCGGTGCTTCCGATACTAGTGTTGGTATCCCTCCTGCGCGCAGCGAGCGCCAGGCCTCCCAAGGGTGCGTGGTGGGGGTGCGAGACCTGAGGTGGGGGAGAAGGAAGCTTCTTGGGCGCCGCCTTCTTCTTGGATTTGGCCATGAACATGAGACCGTCATCGTCGCTATCGCTGTCGTCATCATATTTGCCACCGGAAGCCGAGGCCGAAAGGCTCACGGACCGACGAGGACGCGCACCCTTGGTGCCGACAGCAGGGGCCGGGTCGATACGCACGGCAATGGTTTCCGAATCGGTGTGGTGGTCAAGAGGAAACTCGGTCAGGGTCTCTTTGCCTGGGGCTGGTGGCGTAAGAGAATCGGTCGTGGCCAAGAGCGATGACCTGCTGACGATACCAGGATTGCCCAGGAAGTCGCCCTCAACGTCGGCGGAGACAGAGCTAGCTCCACTCATCAGCGCCGGCAGTGAGGGGTCCGACTGGTACGCTGGCATGACGTCGACCTTTTCTCTCGAGTTGGTCGGCGCCGTGTGGCACAGCGGGCTGGCGACAACACTGGGGCTCGTCATGGGCGTCGCGATGGCTCCAAACGAAGTCACGCTTGAGGACACGGCCATCGACATGGTCTCCTCCCTGGAAGGTGGCTGCGAGTGCCCTTCCTGGCTCATGCCATCGTCAGTCGGAGATGGCGGGCAGGGCACACGGGACGGTTCGGTCTTCAACATGGCCGGGCGAACGGGAGAGGGCTGCTCGATTGGTTGCTGTTGGTGGCGGTGAGTGTCCGCTTGACCCTCAGGGTCCTCGAATGGACTCCGAAAGCTCAGTGGCGTTGTGGATCGGGCCGTGGACGGCTCAGAGTCTGATTTGTGCGTGGCCGTATCGAGACGAAGTGCAGTCAAGATGCGGTCGTTTTGCTTCATGCCCAGGTATGGCTTGTGGTGGTACATGTGGTGATGGTAGGCCGAAGACAGACGGGGCATGAAGCCGAGAGAGTGTGTCGAGTTCTCCCGGACGGCAACAAGATCGATCGAACGCGTGTGTCGAGGAGACCGCGGCGGCTGCTGCATGCTTCCCGGGGCGACAGCGGTGCTGAGGGCCACCATGGCGCCGGCGTGCTTGTCGACGTTGGGGAAAACAAGCCCGGCCCGGTCCATGGATTTGGCGCGCGAGCAGTCGTCGGAGGAGATGGAGGCCTCGCGGCCCTTCCTAGCGCCCGAAAGCCTAGCGACTTCATCTACGATGCCGGTAATTCCGGGACTCGGAGGCACCGTGTGTGCGACTCGATACTCCTGCAGGCTAGGTGTCAGGCTGAGAAACGAGCTTCCAATCGAACGCGCATGGGAATGTCTCTTGGGTGGTGGTGGTTTCGCAGGACCAAACGAAGGGGCGTCGCTGGAGTCGGGGTGGTAGTCTGGAAGGAGCTCGTTTGCGTGGATCGAGGGCTTCCTACCGAGTGACATGCATAGAGGGGAACTGAGGCTCTGCGGCGACTCCAAAGGGCTCGCAGTCACGCTCTGGGAGAGCGGATGCTCCGTCTGCTGCACCTGCGTCACCGTGGCGAAGTAGTCGTCAGGGCGGATACTCTTGCGACGGATGTCGCGTGGGTAGGCGGACGGCTGGTTCGATGCGCTGTCTCCGGCGGAACTGGCAACACTACTGTCGGCTCGCCTGCGCGAGGCCGCAGAAGCGCCGTCATCATGATCTCGCTTGTGGTGCATGACCTTGCCAACCGCCTTCTTGACCGCCGACTTGGCCCTCTCGAGGAAAGTGAGCGGCACGACGGCGCGCCCAATCTCCTTCTCGTCGACCTCGATCTGCTTGCCAGACATCTTGCGCGAGGGGTCCGTCTCATCGATCCAGGCGTGCGGGACACCCCGGACAACCCAAGGGTGGGACTTGACGTCTCGAAGACGGATCCTGTGATCGGGGTTCCTGGTGAGCATGCGCCGGAGCAGATCGAGCAGGTCGTCCTCGATGTCCTCGTACGCAGGGTCGTCGTCATCCCGGTAAGGCTCGCTATTAACTCTCTTGTACAGGGAGACTTTGCTGGGATCCGTGAAGGGGAAGACGGGCCGCAGCCGGCGGCGTGGAATGAAGGCGTCTTCCTTGGCGATCTTCTTGAACATGGAGTACTCGTCCTCGGCCATGAAGGGGATGCGAGCGAAAATGATGCAGTAGAGCGTCACGCCAAGCGACCAGATGTCAATCTGCTCCGACACCCGAGGCGGTTCCTTGTCGAGATTATCGACGTCGGTGTAGCAGAGCTCAGGGGCGAAGAATGCGGGCGTCCCCACCGTCTTGGAAAGCTCCCGGTCGTCGTCAAAGTCAAGGGCCTCGGACTCGGACACCAGGTCGTCAGGCTCACCCTCTCGAATGGGCCGCCCAAAGTAGGAGACGCCAAAATCAGAGATCTTGACCTTGAAGTCCTTGGTCCAAAGAAGATTCGCGGGCTTGATGTCGCGATGCACGACCCCGTTGTAGTGGAGATATTCGAGTCCGAGGATGGTGTCTCGGAAAGCCGACCGTGCATTCTCGATGGTGAAGCACGGCACGTACGAGAAGTCGTCGACGAAGGGGTCGTGAGGGGGTGTAGCAAAATCCACCGAAGACATGTGCGAGATGATCGAGTCTGCCATGCTGGGAGAGCGCGCCCTGAGAGTGGAGCTTCCGCCTTGATCGTCGGCGTAAGCCCCGTACATGGTTCCCTCGAGGGTTGGGGGCAACGATGCGACATCCGTATCGGCATACCCGTGGCTAGGTATGGGGACCGATTCGGCTTGCGCTGCCTGGCTCCTCGAGAGGGACCTCGACGACTGGGTGCGAGATGGGGCTTGCGAAACCGCCCTGGACCTTGGGAGCGATGGTTCAGGCTCGTCATCGTCGAACGAGGCGCCATACTCGAGGCTCCAATAGTCACCCGAATCCGTCTGCGCCTTGGCGGCCGTCTTCATCCGCTTGACCTCGGTCTTGGCACGCTTCCGCTGCAGAGAGCACAACTCTTCCTCCTCGGCAACGATGGACTCGCCGCGAGTGCTCTTCTCGATCATGCGCCGCTCAAGGTCGCAGATGCGCGGCAGACCCTTCTTCCTCCACGTGATTTCGCCATGCTCGACATGCTCCAGGACCATGTAGATCTTCTCGAGTTCCGGGTCGTCGATGACTTCGAGGAGGGCGACCACATTGGCATGTCGGATCTTCTTGAGAATGGCAATCTCTCGCTTCGTGTTCCTCTGGGGGTCCTCGGCGGTGACCTTGCCCAGTCGGCGCTTCTTGGAGTAGCGGGGGATGATCTTGATGGCTACGGTCTCGCCCGTGTGGGTGTTGCGGGCTCGCTTGACCTTGCCGTGCTGGCCGCGGCCAATCTCCTCCATCACTTCGTACTGGTTGATGTGCTTGCGCCCCGTGGTGAAGTCCCTGTCGACGGTGGCGGTCGAAGTCCTGCCGAACGTGTGATGGTGAGTTACCCGAACCAGAGGTTACCAAACTGTAAAGCGGAAAGCAATCCCTTTTGTGGGGGAGGCAGGGCTCTATACGACTTACTCTCGAACTTTGCGAGTCTGCAGTGGATGCAGAAACGGGCTTTCGGCCCTCGAGGCACTGGCGGCCGGGGCACCCTCGGACATGTGCTGCGGGGGTATCATGTTCAGGCGCGAGACGGTCGCGCTGAAGAGGCCGGGAGACGACACGGGAGTGCTGCTAGCGGTTCTCGACGGGACGTGCGATGGCTGCGATGGGAGCTGAGCGCCCTGCAGGTGCGGGAAGGAGGAGGTCCTCGACTGGTGCGGCTCCATGTTGAACGAGAAGTCGGCGAGGCCGGCGAGTCCACGAGCAGATAAGACGAAAGGGGTGGCGGGGCGGCGCCTTGTTTGACGGGAAAGAAAGCGAAATGTCGGGGATTCGGATTACTACAAAACCATGATCGCTGGGGACAATCCGACACAGGGTCGCTTTGTCGGATCGGGAGGCGTTATGCGGTCGCGTTTCGTGGCTGAATATCGATGAGGGTGGAGGGCGGAGGACCGGAAAGTCTACCGCGCCGGTGATGTCGGCCAGTAGACGGAGATCGGGGTGTGTTTGCGTGCGCGGGCGGTGATGGCGAGGGATTGCCGCTGAGGGGGTGGCGTGGCGGATCGAACAACTTTAAAAGGGACGAGAAAAAAAGTTTGTGGTTGTGCGTGGTCGCGGCGCTCGGCCACCTGCGGATGCGGCGGCAGTGGTGCCAGCCAGTTCGGAAGCGGCTGGTTGCACAACAACTGGCGAGTGGCTTGTTCGAATCGGAACTGTTCGAATCGGAACCGGATTGACGAGGCACAGACTTTGACGAGTTTCTCCGGGGCGGGCGGCAGTGGACGAGAAGGGATTGCTTCGTGGCAGAAGACGGAACGTAGATGGACGTTGGTGAAAAGGGACAAAAGGCTTTGGGGGGAAAAGTCGGGTGGGTAGAGGAGAGGAGACTACAGAAGAGCGGCGGCGAGAGAGAGAGAGGCTAGGACAGGGTGGGATGAAATGGGGCCTTGGGAGAAAAGAGAATGGGGATGGAGGGGCGGCTTTGGGAACAGCCAAACACAGGCGGGCAGTCGAGTCCACCAAGAGGCTTGACGTAGGTATGTGGGTGGGGACGGGCAGGCTGGGCCAGGGTGACCCATGCAGAGGCGAGCTGGGAGGGGCCCAGCCCGGCAGGGGGAGGGGTGGCCAGGCTTATCGCGGTAATCCTGGGAGCGAGCTTGTGCTCATTGGGTGCTCGCAGGGGTGCCTGCCCGGGGCGGCCAGTTGTTGGTTGGCGGCAATGCGGAGAGGGAGAGGGCGTTTCTGGAAGCGGTGGTATCAAATCTGCATTCCGTCAGTCTGTTTGCCTGCCGTGGACGAGTGTGTTCTGTATCTTGCCGTGCCCATTGGACGACAGTCGCGCATATTGGCACAAGTTTAGGCACCGCGAGCAGATAACACGCACGACACCAGGCATGAGAGTCCCTCCAGTCCCTCCCTCTTGGGACGGCTACATCCGCGCGCGGACACGGGCGCCCTCTCTTGTCTTGAGCGCGCCCTCGTCCTTGTCTTAGCCGGTCTGAACACGGCAAGCGGGCAGGAGTGGGCCGCCGCATAGGTACCTAACGCCAGGTAGCTGCCGCCAAGTACTCGACCGCCAAGTACCAGGCCTCCTGTACTCTATACTGTGCTTATAACACACCACAGACAACGGGTACCGCCGGCCAAATGGAGCCACACCCAAGAAAACATCGGGCGGCGCGACACAGACAAAGAATGGAGATTTTCGAGTCATGGTTCTTCGTGCTCTCTCGCTCACCTGCTTTCAGCCCGTGAATCGTTCGAGGCCCCCTCCCAGATGGAAAGCCAGATTCTTCCAAGTTCTTTCCAGATTTTTGCTGTGTCGACAGTCGCCCAAAGTCCGCGCCCATCGACCGACCGCCCATATGATTTAAAGCTCACAAACCTACGTGATCATCCTTGAGTATATCGCGACAAGATTGAGGGGCGGAGGTCCGTTCCCCCTGGCCTCCGTGATCTGACCACGATCTCGACCCACCCCCCACCCAATCACGCCCCAGGAGAAAAAAGCAATCTTTGTTATTTTTCGTTTTTGTTGGTCCGCTGGGCCTCCTCTCGTTGGTCGCCCAGAATGGGCAGGTACCTGTTGACAAAGCTCAATTGCTGGGAGCTCGGATTGTGGGCTTCCCAGTGGCCCGTGGTCTCCCGGCTCAGGCCGAGCCAACTGCAAGTGCACGATAACGGGAGGAAAGAAAATCGTGGCCTGTGATTCGACATCAGCGGGTAGGGAAGAGCGACGCCCACCGCCCGCAAGATTACACAGTACACGTCGGCAGCATAGGGGCTTGCTCCCAATGAGCCACGAACGCGTTCCCGATTTTCTGCAGGACCCTGACGGGACCCTCGCTACCTGGGAAACGGCAATTCGCGGTCAAGAAAGGGGAGGATGAATGGGGGAAAATTGGTGCGAATTGCTGGTACCGAGGACGGTGCTCCGGAAAAGGAGCTGTCTTGCGTTTGTGACGGTGTAGACAGCTGGGAGGTGGCACCTACCTCGTAGGGAGCTGTAGCTGTCGTCTCCTATTGTGCTTCCAGTGCACCATCCAATAGCGCCAATTGGGAGACCGACTCCATCTGGGTCCATCAATTGTACTCCGGTTGGCGTGTGGACAATGCAGCGAGTCCCCGCCCAAGCTCGAGGTCACCTGTGGCGCTCGCTCCCGCCAAAGGGGGACATGCCGAGTCCAGACCAGTCCATTTCAGCCCTTGGGCAGGGTGTGCGCTCCCAACCGCCGAGCGGCGCTAGCGAACGAGCAAAAAAGGGACCTGTTAGGGTCACCGTCGACCGGTCGTTGTCGGCGTTGTCGTCGTCGGCAGGGGCGAGCAGGGGCCCGCGGTCACGATGCCGCCAAAATGCCAGCACACAAAGGCAAGCCTCTCGGCCAACCTGTCCGCCAGCAGCCGAGCACTAGCTCCGAGGGACAGGGTCCCAGACCGCAGAACACAGACCTCCCTCGTCCCCTCCTAGTGCTCCCGCCGCCTGGAAATGCGACCCGGCCAGGCTGCCTATGCGGTAGCCCGCTTCCTCGGATAGCACTGACATTGTCGCCGTGCGTCGCGACCACCTACCGCCACACAGACGTTTTCGGGGGCTCCTCTTTTTTTTCGTCGGGGATTATCAGGCGCAAGGCAACTCCCTAGAGCAGCCGGCCAGAGAGGGCCCACGGGCTCCCGAATCGGCTGCTCATCTGTCGTGGGAGCCAAAGCACCGTGACTAGCAATGGATGCGAGACGATCCGCTTGTCCGGTACCCTCTAATCAAACCCTGCTCAGCCGCTGGCTGCCCTGTCTACGGCTGGGCTACACGGCGGGAGGAGGAGCGAGATACCCTCGCTTCTTTAATGAACCCCAAGCGCCGGCTGACGGCGTGAACACCCCCTCGATGCCAGCGGAGGTGGTGCCGACGGGAAACCCATTCTGGGCTAGCGTGCGTCCAAAAAAGCTGGCAAAAAGCAGCCGGCCGGTTTGTGCTGTCTGTCCCATCGCCGTCCGCTCTTCTGCACCCTGCATGCCTACATCATCCCGAGGGTCAGTGACCCTGCACAACGTTCTCTGCCACCCTCGTGCCCCCTTCTGATCCCTCTGCCCGGATCGTCCTTTGGGCGCTGTTGCAGGAAGGAAAATTCCAAACCCCCAAAAGGGAAAAAGAGTAGAGACATGGCGACAGGGGGTCGTTCAACGGTTTGGACGAAGGGGCGTTGACCGGAGAGGGGCTGGATGCAATATGCGACACCAATGAGAAGGCGAGAAACATAAAAGAAAAAGGCGAAAAACGACACCCTCAATTCCTTTCCCTTTCCTTTCTTCATCTCGCACACGGCTTCCCCGATCGGGACCCTCCGGTTGCGACGATGCCCCGTTCACGTCTCGCGAACCATTGGAGCCAAGCGATGCGGGGGAACACGGCCGCTCACCGGCAGAGTGAAAACAGCCACAAATTTGGCGGCGGCAGCGACGACGACGATTCTGGCTTGAGAGGTTGTCGCAGTACCCGCGACATGCAGCAATCGTCCGTTCGGGTTGCCGTGGACCACGCGATAAGAAGCATGATGGCGACGGGCTTCTGCGGGCCATACTACCTGCACTATAGGCATTTCAAGGCCCCTTCTGCATGCCCAGACATGGTTTAGATTAGAACATCACGTCTCCCGGCCTTGGGACTCGCCCGCGTTCCTTGATGCGCCTTTTCTTTTTCCTGCTTGCCTCCCTGGTTTTTGACGGTGGGTGCTGCAGTGGTGGTGCAGCGGTGCAGTGAAACCTCATGGCTCCGCTCCATGCCCGCCGCCCTCAATCCGAAATCCCCAGTCGACTGCTCTGCTGTGGTCCCGCTCCCCGCCTTATCCCCACCCACCCCACCATTTTTCGTCGTGTCGCCCCTTTGGTTGATCTCCCAGGCCCTGACGACGCTAAAATGGTGTCGCTGAGCGATGGCAGAGGGCGACGGTCGATCCTCGCCCCAAAGTCTCCACTGCCGCCGAGAGCCTGCCTCCCGTCACGTCCGCAGAGATGCGACCCTCTCTGTTTGCTGCTCCGCGTATCGGCCTGGTGCAGCTTGGTCGAGGGGTCTCACCGGCAAGGGAAGTATGTACATACGTGTGTATTGTACTGTACCGAGACCAGGACGATACCTGCGACTAACACGCAACCGACACTGCTCACCTTGGCTCCTCCAATGTACTCTCAAGTAGCGACGCCGGTCCCAGTTCGCAAGTTCACGCTGAAGACTGTCTGTCCCCCGTCTGCCGTTCGTCCCCCCTTCGCTCTCTTTCCTTGGGCAAAACACACCCATCAAGTTTCCGCGGTAAGCGACGACAGGGCCCCACCTCGCCTCTGCGACAATTGGAACACTTTGCACGCGATATCTCCGCACCCATTCCTTCTTGGCGGGCCCGGTGCTTCGAACCCATAAGCACCTTGTTCTTTTATTTTTATTACCGTTACTCCCTCATATGTGATCCCACCTCTGCTCACGCATGGGTATCCGCAGGCTTGCGCGAGTTGCGTCAGTCAGCGCGGACATGGTACAGACAGTACCTCGGGGCGATGTACCTCGCTGCCAGAGGCAGAATGAAAGGGAATGATCCGAGACAGAGGCCGACGGGGCCATAGACACTTCCTGCTGTCCCCCCGCGCATGATGATGCTTCGGCGACCCAGCGGCGGCGAGGCACTTGACGCCGTTTTGACGTCAATTCACAGTCACCCGTCTCTGCAAAAATGTCCCGCCCCCAGCCGTGCGCGGGCTCGAGGCACCTAGTCGCCCTTCTTGTGAAGCCCGCAGGCTAGCCCACCCGTGCCCCGCGCTGCTGGCAGGATTGGGGGAAAAGAGAGAGAGAAGGTATCAGTCGGCAAATTGTTTTGCTGCGCTGCAACATCCTGTGGCCGGTGAACAAGCATCCATCGCACGTCCTAGGCGGCAGGCTTGGTGCTCTGATGGTGGATGGGCCACAGATGATCGACACCCGCTTCAAAGCGAGGGCCGAAGTGACAGGTCAGTTTTTCCCAACATTGGTACCCTAACAAGGCCCTGCAACTGAGCATGTTTGTTCGTTTTCTCTCCCCTCTTATCGGCGGCCCGTCATTTCTTTCATTTCTGCTCAGAGTGCCCCGGCCTAGCTCATTCTATGTTCCCCTTCACGCCCAAGCTTCTTTGCCGCCCCTTGGTCCGGCTACCACCATCACCTGCGCCGCCAGCGCCATTCTCTGGTATCATGTCGTCAAGGTATGGCTGAGGAGGGTCACTACGCAAGGGCAATTTGTGATTCCGCATCTCCCCGCCAGCCGCAATTATAGACAGGGGTAAGCAGGTGGTGATAACAGCTGCGATTCCAGAAGCGAGGAGGAGCAAAGAGCCCATCGTTTCTCCGCATCCCATATTGTTTCTCTTGATGTTTCTTGCTCAACCACACACCCCCCTGCCAACCGTTTTAATCTTAAGCCGTGCCTGGCCATCTGACGATTTGGGCCGACCGGAGATGGGAGAAGAAAAAAAAGGACGGGCAAGGTAGGGCACAAGGCAAGGCAGGACGGGGCAGGGTCAGATCACAGAATCAGCTTTGTCGCACACCTTCTCTAGTCAAGGGCACACGGCGTGCATCCAGTCCAGGAGAGGCAGCCCGCGCTATCGGGCGGCGCCAGTCTCGTTCCTGTGCTGCCCAACCCGCCCGCACCTCTCTCTTTCCTCTCAGCCTGTCGGCTCCCACTTTGGGTTTTCCTTGCCTTAGCTTCCTTGAAACGAAGCAGAGAAGCACGGTAGACTACCGCACCTCATTTCGCGCGTCCACCTTGTTCCTATTCCGATTTAGGCCGTCCCCTCCCCCTGGTAATAGCATGGGGAGTGAGTGGGCTAGGCTAAGCTGGGGGCTGACCGGGTTGTCCGCCGCCTTTCGCTCAAACAAGCAGGTGTACCCGGTGAGGATGGGTGATGTGATGGGGTTGGTTTTTTTTTTTTTTTTTTGCTTACGGATCGTAATGCTTACCACACAGGACCCGCGGCATGGGATCCTCCATCATTAGGTACCCCAGATTACCCACCGCCGGGGCAAACCATCCCCGTGGGCGGCGCGGCGACGAGCTCCTGGCTGGGCTGACTCTTGGACTGGGCTTGGGGCTGGGCAGCCCTGCAAGCCCTGTTGCGCCCACGCCCCAGAATCAAGGTCGAGAGATAGCCAGCCTTGCTCGCCGCAAACCAATAGCCCGTTCCCACCCGCGCCGCCTGCCTGTCCCGTCCGTCCTTGCCGAGCCTGGATCCCATCTTTTCGTGTGTCCGTTCAAGGTTCAAGGTTCACAGCTCCAGCCGCGCGACTCGGTTGCTTTTATTCAACTACGTAGCGGCGCCTTTTCTTTTTTTTGCTAGCTGTTTTGCTTTTGAGGGCGTGACCCCTCTCGTCTGAGCGCGGGTAAAGCTCGGTGGCTGTTCCCTTTTAGCTTCCAGCTGTCTGCGCTGGCGTGGAAGCGCGGGGACCTTCGAATGAACAAAAAAAAAAAAGATACAAATGTTAGCGGCGGACGTATGTGACTACTACGCCTTTTGGGTGTGGTAGGATCACCACCAGCAACCTGGCTCGAGGTCGCCTAATTGCTAGGGGGAGAGAGCGCCGCACGAGGCTGAGAGGGCGAGCCGGGGCTCCGAGATAAATCGAGAAGCTTAGTCTCGGGCCACCACTTCTTTTAATCTTTCTGGTCTCTCTCCCCATCGATTCTCGTATCTTTGGAAATAAAACCCGCGCAGCGAAATCACACGATACGGCAGGTTTGGTGACGAGAGCCTTTCCCCTCCGGGAGCAACCACGCACACCTCGCACACGCATCGCCCTGCAGCCTTCCGGGGTATGATGTGTACCGTGCTTTTTTGGGCCACGCACCTTTTGACACACACACACACACATACACACACATGGTTGTGCCTTATCATGACTGAACACTCCCTCCACCCCCTTGTCGCATGAGAAAGCTAACACCCAGCTTGGGCACGGTCAGACAGCCACATTCCTGCGCCGTCACAATCCATCTCCATATAGCACGCGGCACTATTGAATAAGCCCCAAGGAAGCCGTCGCGCCCCACCACCACTACCACCACTACCACTTCGACGCATTTCCGCTTTGGCTCTCGTTAGCCCTCATGGGCGCGAAGCGAAAAAAAAAACAGGCCCGCGAGATGTTGTCTGTCCTGAACTGAACAGTCCGCCCGTCTTTCTAATTGTGGCCAGGGTGGTGGTGGCCCTGCGGTCTTGGTTAGTGGGCTGGGCTGAGTGGTTGGGCACGGGCCTCGATGGCTGGGGTGTGGTGGGAGAAGTGGGTCGGCCCAATTGCAACCGGGGGCCATCCTCGTCAGAGATTGGCGAGAACAACCAGGACCCGCCCATCCTTTCACATGCCTCTCGCGAACGAAAAAAGAAAAAAGGAAAAAGAGAAAAAGAAAAGAAAAAAACAAAAAAAGTAAAAAGGAAAAAGGCTACAGAAAAAGAAAAGTACAGAAGAAGCGGGAACGAGCGCAGGCCAAGCAAGCAAAATGCGACTGTCTTTCAGGACTGGCTGACCAACTGAAACCACAGCACCAAGAGCTATAGTATGGCGGAGGTGAGGGGTGGCCGTGCCGGATAAGCGTGCTGCTGCTTGCTAGCTCTTTTCGCTTTCACCAACCGGCTTTTTGCTTCATATCCTCTCCATGCTAAACCCGGGCGGGGCGCCACACGCACACATTCTCACTGCCCACTGCGATTGAGGCCGACCTGGGGGGCTCTCCTCACCTTCTTCCGCCAGGGCTGGTCGCTGTCGTCGGGCGCTGTGATTGGTGAATGGTGCGAGGGGCCGTGCACCGCGCTACGCTGATGTTTCGGAATGGAAACCCCCGCTAAGGCCGCGCTGGGCTTAGCGTTCTCTTTTCTCTCCATCTTTCCCTCCCATCTTCGTGCTCTGTGCGAGCCCTGCTCGCTCATCATCTCCATCCCTGCATCTCCATGACGGCCCTGCTGGTTTGCAAAGTTCCCGCTTGTACGAAAGCGGCCTAGACTGGGCTGGCCGTCATCAAGAGGGGCAAGGCAGCGCCCACCACTGGCTGGCCCTTCTGTCTTCCTGCACGTCATCTATCCTTTGCTCGGCAAAAAAACGAGAGAATAAAAACGATCAAACACCCAGCCTGGTTAATCCTAGTTGGGAAATCCGAAGGGAGGTCTGGCTTTCGCCTTTGGCCGGCCCTCGCGCCTTTTCTTAGCTCTCTCTGTGGCCCCAATTCCATGGTTCCGACTCTCCTGTTGCCATCCGCTGCACTGTTACAGAATATTCTCCGGCCTCTTTTTTTTTGTTCCCTTGCCCATCTGTCGTCGATCACTCTCGTATCTGTAAGTCAAGCTGTGAAGAAGCGAGGGGCCCTGTCGGATGGGGGGTGATGAGGGCTGTGGCTTTTGCGGGGGGTTTGGTGCCCTTGTCCCTGCTTCTACGCAATAGACTTTGCAAACAACTCACGCACAGGCTGCCGCCGATAATCGACCTTTTCTTTCCTTTTTCTTCGTGTCTTTCTTTTCCCTTTTCCCCTTTCTCCTAGGTATCGCAACCGGACAGGGGTTGGCCGTATCTATGTTCATAGGACGATAGCTGGCACCAAGATAAAGCTGGCAGAACAGAAAACAGGGGAACGACATGTGTAAGAAGATTGATGGCCTGCGTCATGCTCGATCGCTGCCAACCGCCGGCGCTACATGGCCCCGCCCCAATTCTCTGCTTTTTCTTGTTCTCACCTTGGTCACAGCTGGCTAGCCGCAGGTAACAAACCCCTTGCTGCCAGTTGGGGTTGCATGGCGACTTGGCGATACCTCCGTATGTGACATGTGATGCTGGGTGAGACCTCGTAGTTTGAGGTATCGCCTGGGGACGGAGTTCTCTTTTTTTCCTTCTTTTTTCTTGTTTCGTATGAGATGGGGCCAAGACAGCCAGACACACGCCCATCACCACCAGCCACTAGACCACTACGGCCCCCGTCCTCGCGCGTCTGGCGAATCACAGCTCCTCAACCTGTGCCCTGTCCCAGTTGTGCCACATTCTGTCTCTCAAATCGCACCGCACACCCACATAGGACGGGCGCCCACATGGGCAGACATGTGATCCAGAGCTCTTCTCGTGTGTCTACCAAACAGGTCCCTTTTCGAGACCCCGGGACCTCTTGCTCTCCTGTCCCCGGGCCGGCACACACTAGAGGTCAATACTCCGGTGTGATGTGTGTTACCCGAGTCGAGGCGGGGGATTCGCCCATCACAACCCGTCTCGACCGCATGCCTTCCTGTCTAAACCCCTTTATGCCTGTCGACACATCTGTCCTCTTCTGTCCATGTGCAGCTACAATCGGACCAGCTGTGTCCCAACATCCTCTGAGTTCCTCTGGGGGGATGTGGCTGCCAAAGTGGGCCGGTTGACAGGATGGATGGATGGACGGTCGAGTCAGTTGCTTGTTGCTATCCCACTCCTGGATGAGTGGCGCGCCCACACCACCTAGCTCCGAGACATACATATCATGGACAGAATGCTACCTACTAGCTGCCAAGCGTGCATTCTGGTGTTGCTTCCTCTCCATAGTGCTATGCAGCTATACCTATTTCCGTGCTGTGTGTGTGTGGGAGATACCTGCCTAGTAGGCTGGAGTCGAATGTCAAGTCGGCTGGCAAGGCCTCCAGGTGGTGTCCCCTTGCTACATACCTGCCCCGCAAGCAAAAGGTGATCTACAACGGGCGGTCGGGTGCCGACACGGTTCCCACCTTGGTCGGGGGGACGGCCGATATCACCTAGATTGGCCACCCCAAGCACAGTTGATCGGGTACGCGTAGCGGTCCATTCGCGTGAGAGAAGGGGCGGATCACCGACTCTCCATGCCCCTCCATCAGCGCTACCTGATCATCTCCCAGAAGATCTACGGAGCCGCCGCCGTCGCTGGAGAGGCAGCCAATCGATGGGCCAAGACACCTTCGCACCACACACACACACAAAGTTCCGCCGCTACTGGGAAACTCAGTCCGCATTCCGACCTGGGCGCTGGATCTTTGGGGTGTTGTGCAACAATCAACGGGCGAATACCATGTAGTAACCTGTCTCGTGGGGAGCGCCACACGAAAAAAATGAGGCTTGGTTTTTCACCACCAGTTCATCCATCGGTATCTCTTGACCAAAAGACTGGCTTTCGGTGGCGTGCCCACCACGCGGTGGACCACCACCCCATATCCTCGTTTGTGGCTGCCAAAGCCACACTCACCATCTTCCCTGTTCGAGCCTGTATCATGAGACTGTGGCCAAGTGGCCGGGTGGGTGCTGGCGGGTTTTGCGTCTGGACGCTGTGTGAGCCACAAGAAACACGAGCAAGATTTTCCCATGATCCGCTGATAAAGGAATGCCATGTGTTGCCCCAGGAGTAGAAGCTCCGTTAAGGTTCCCCTTAACCTCTGGATGTCATGGCGGAGACGCCAGTTCGATAGCGTTTGTCTCTGTTTGCAATCGCTGTCATTGGTTCCCCCAGACTTTTCCAGATGACGTATCCCACCCAGATCCAAACACATGACACGATGGACACGATCCCCCCCCCCTTCTATCGCACCGCTTAGCCACGGAAAACTCCTGATTCTGGGCATCTTTGTTGGAAAAGAACACTTGTCAGGCCATGTCGGTGTGAGGAAAAGAGCTTGAGCCGCGACATATGGAACAGGGAACAACCAGGCAGCCGTGTCGACCGCGTTCCCCTGGCGATATTGGCAGCCCAGTGCATACGCGACAAGTATTTGTAGCCTTTGGAAGCAGGTGTCACCCTTGTTTCTCCCAGGCCTTGCTTCCCAAGAATACTTTTCTGGATTCTTGGTGACGAGACTGGACGAAGTGTCTCGTCCTCTGCGGGGGGCCTAGAATAGCGGCCCATATGATGCGCATACCGTCATAATGGCCGATATCGCTTCTGCTGGGTCTGCCTAGTCGTTGGTAAATATAGTCTAGAATCGAGCAAAATGTCATCATACAGACACTTGACGGTATGTTTCCATGGCCAGGGCCTTGACTCTAGTCGCTAGCCCCAATGGCCTGGCTTGTTCACGATATCGACACAAGATATCGCACGAGAGATAGTCCATCGAGCCTGCTCACCGCCTACGTACATGTGGCGACTTTGAGTGGCTCGGCAACAAGACCGTGTATCAGTCGGGCGGTGATTCTTCGTCAACTCCGCACAAATAGCGTGCAGTACAAGGGTTATTGGGCTCTGAGTCGAAGCGCTCGCTCGTAGGGGGTTGGTATCCCGTAGATGGGAAGCCAAGGCTTGCGATTCGCAGTGAATACAGAATGATGGGGCGAGTCGCTACACCGACTATCCATCAACTTCCAAGAAAACATCCGTCTAATGGCTTCAAGTGCTGCACGGCCAGGCCCGCAGAGTCGGGGGATTACAGAGCAACTGCGCCATCGGCAGAAGAATAAACGAGGATATGGCGAGCTAGTAGGGCAACGACAACGTTCGTTGTATCCTCCGCATGGCCAGTGGCTAGGGACCTGTAGCGGCTTTGACCCCGACTAATATTCGAAGAATGGTCATTGACAGTCACTCTCCCAGCCGCTACGTCGGAGGTTTGGCTCATCTTGGTGCCGGCGAAGGGTCGGCAGTGCCACGGTTGGGTTTCCGACAATGACCACCAAGAGCTGCTGGTACAGCTGGTAGGCATTCTCCCGCTCCATGCTCCTACCGCCAACTGCTGGCCTGGCGTCCATGATGCGCTCGACCTCCCGTCAGGGACCTGCCGCCGGCGGCTGGACATGGATTGCGGCCCTTGTCGTCCCACTCGGGGCGTGGCGATGGCCGCCCTGAATGACAGCCCTCGCCGCCGGCGCCTTGTCCATGTCCCCATCTCGACCGTTGTGCTGGCCATGACGACGCGGTGCAGCGACTGGCTTTCGTGGTCATAATGCCGTCGCTTCTGTCCCCGCCAGAGGCTCGTGGCGGCCTCACCCCGTCCCTCGTTGACGGAGCCGCGGTCGCCCGATGGCGATGAAGGCACCGCTGTCGGCGTTCGTGGCCTTGACATCTCCGTCGCAGTCTCCCATGCACCTAGGCTAATTTCCCCGAAAACTCGGCGCAGGCAGTCTGAGGCCCGGCCTTCGGCTCCAAAGCAAGTCCCCCATTGTGGATTCGTGGAGGGTGTCGTCCTGGATACGTCGGTGGGGTTCGAGATACTCGTTTGTGGTGGCGACCAGTACTAGCGAGGCTATACAGGGGGCCGTCGCCTCTGTGTTTGAGGAGTTATATCTCACTAGTGCACAAAGGGGGTGGAGAGTTGGATATGCGTAGATTATTATCAACTTGGAGGGGGGTCCTCTTATGTTGTATTTAAAAATCTTCCTCAATGCTTAAAGATGTTTGCGGAAGGAGAATCTCTCGAGGAGTTTATGGCCGGAAGCCTTTCTAATATATGCCACGTAGCTGCCCACAGCATTGTGTAGCAGGCCCTCTCGGGTTTCACAAGCTTCCATGGACTCCATATGAAGAATACTTCAAAGAGTCCTATTGGGCCTCCGGCCTTCGGCATTAAGCCGCTGTAACTACTGGGCATCAATCCAGGGCTTTAGCCACCTTCAAGAACTATAAAGGTCCCTTGTAGGTGCACTGGGGGCCCCGTGTGACACGCGGAGAGTTGAGGTGTTATTATTCCTGCGACGACACCCTTATTCTCGCCCAGATCTCACATCACCTGCCTAGTTTCCTGTTGGCTTATAATAGGAAGAGGCAAAAAGGCCGTATGCGCTGACGAAAACGGGGAAAGTAGTTAATGCCAGTACAGGACTTGGTTTGATTTTCTGCTCAAAGTAATCTCCCACAAGGTCTTTAAAGTGTTGTTTAACGCCCACAAGTCGGGCGGCCGGGGCCCACGGCAAGAGAAATGCACACCTGGGTAAGATGAGCATGAGAAAGGAGAAACATCAGAAACCCGCCATACCAAGCATCGACCTGCTCCGCCTTTTTAGGACTCAGACAGGAGTCTCGCCATCCGTCGCCACGTAGACATTTACTGCGCGAGCTTGAACGTCGCGAGGCCCTCGGGCATGTCCGCCACCGACGCGCCAGCCTGGGCAGCCTTGAACAGCTCCGTGGTGTCCACCTTGGCCTCGAGAATGGCCGTGTAGTTGTACTGTGTCCCGTCGGCCAGGTACACGACATTCGGCTGCACGCATTTCGCATCTGACCCCTCCGCGTCCCGCGGCACCGCCGCGCCGCGGACCAGCTTCCTGTTGTTGAACCCGTAGCCCAGCCCGCCGAAGGGGCCGTTGTTCAGGCAGACGTAGTCGCGGCCGCGGCTGTCCTCCTGCTGGCGGATGCTGCCGCAGTTGGAGGGCGCGTGGCCGCGCGCCTGGATGTTCCACCCGCGCGGGATAGCGCGGAAGGAGCCGCTGCCGAAAATGGTTCCTTGGTTGACGCTGCAGCACGTGTCGGGGTTATAGTTGAAGCAGATCGCGCCGCCACCCGAAGTCGAGCAGCCGCCCGCGAATTCGAGGTGCAGGTCGATGGCGGCGGCGGAGGTGGCGAGGAGGGCGAGGGCAGAGACCTTCATGTTGGCGGTTTGAGGGGGATGCAAGAGACTGTTTTGAGAAGTCTGTTGAGTTGCTGGATGTGGAACCTGGAGCTTTCCTTGGGGGCTGATGATGGTTGAGCTGGTTGGAGAAGGAAAGGGTTCAATAGCTCTAGGAAACAGACGAGGAGCCAGCCCTTTATGCTTTTCCGGACATCTCTCACCATCTCGCCTTCGATCTGCCTACAATCTATCCTGTGTCTTGTTGATCCACTGTGCTCTCCGCTTCTCTGATCCCCCGTATCCTCCTCCGTTGGCGTCTCGGACTCGACTGCTCTCCAGGGTTGCTGGTTTCCGAGGCCTCATTGCATCCTAGCTTCTCGTGTCTTCACCTGCCTCTTGTGGCCTGGGCCATGGATCTACGGCCCTCCACTCGACTGTGCATCACGACCCACGACGTCGTCAATGCCCAAATACATGGCCGGTGTGATGTCGAGCCGGCTGACGCTTCGGACTCGTTCTCTAGGACCCAAGGGCTGCCTTCTCTTGGACCCGAGCGCGGCCTCCAACTCGTCGGCTGGCGCCTCGGACTTGTTCTCTCGGACCCAAACGCAGCCTCCCATTCGCCGGCTACCCCCCCTTTCCATTTACTATAGTCTCGTCAACCCCGCGGGTAGATGTTTAGTTGCACAATAGCTCAAAGTGGATATAATGCTTTCTATTAGCTATTTAGTGCCTCAAAAGGCGTGGAAACTGCCAACGGCGGTGGCATGTCGATGTCTGTACCGCATCGCGCCGCTCAGCGGCACCGGCCCTGTTGTGTAGGCACCCGTTTTGCAGTCTGAATTCCACTGCCTTTGCGGCCAACTCGAGTCATTCATTTAGCCGGCCCTACCCTGAGTCCTGTGGGCCTCGCCGGGCTCGCACTCTCGCTTTATAGACGGGTAAACAAGCGCGCTCCAATATCGTGGGTATCCACTGGGCAGGGCCCTCCGACGTCGAGGGCCGTAGCGGGCCGCCGCGGCCAATCGTCGCATAGGCTTTGGTCGGCCTCGTCTCGGACTAGAGCGGAGACTCGCACTACCATGTTGCTTGAAGTCTTCAGTGTAGGGTTCTGTCGTTCGCCTATTTCGTCATGGCTACTACCCTCAAAAGGCCGCGCGAAAACCGATCCGTACTCGGATTTCCTATTTATGATCTTTTGTTGTCGAGCGGAGTTTTCTATTTCCGCTTTTCAGACGACGCCGGCGGGTCAGCGTGATGATCTGTGGTTGCCTGCTGCCTGGGCTCGAGTCTCCATAACGGCGGGTCCGGTGGAAGCTGGCTGTATCTCCCAATCCACAGCTTGCCTGTATTTACAATACGATCGATGAACAACGTGTCTCGCTGAACTGGTCCCAGAGGACGCTCAGATCCAGCTCCCTGCTAACCGTCCACATGTCTGTCGGATGCGCAGTCCGGAACTCGGCAGATCTGCCAGTTGCCATTACCAGCATGGAGTGGACCTGTGGCGTATGGGCTACCCGGGATCCGGATCGAGCACATCTTGTGGACGCGCGCCGAATGGTGAAAAGAGGCCGCCGTCGCGTTTGGCGGCACAGCTGCAGTCTGTATCGCCGCAGCCCTCCTCGCTAGAAGCCCCACCAGAAGAACATTGAAACATCCCGGGCACGAGAAAGGGGAGAGAGAGGTCCGCATCAAGCAGCGGCTGTAAAAGGGAGCCGGCGTAGAGGGAGCCGCAGTGCGCCGCCACCTCGGCCGAGTCGACGTGGAGCTCGTAGGGGCACATGTTGGCCATTCATGGCAACGCGATCCTGGGCGTCACAACGCTCGCGATTGCTGACCAGCGTTAGAGCCGCGGCGGCGCAGATGGCAAACCCTTCGTTGTCGTATGTCAGGTGCGTCACCGCGCGAGCACTCTAGACAGGAGGGATAGTGGATAGCACCGGATGGATGGCCTTGGCGGCGTTGATCGCCGCGTGGCAAGAGGGAAACCTCAGCTGGGAAAACTAATCAGGGCTGTTGGATGCGTACGTCTGCTTCTGCACGCGAATCAGCCCAGAGAACTTCGCCCAAGCTGATGGCGTGACCTCGGACGGCATCGTGCGCCTCTATCTGTCCAAGCCGTGCTGAGGTGGGTTTCCGAAACGAGCTTCGTGCGTGCCACGCATCCTTTCGCTTCCCAATATTCCAGGGGTTTGGCGGATGACGATGACAGGGGAAACTGATGTATCGCTCGTGCGCGATCTCCTGGAGGAGCTGGGTTGATACCATGTTTGCGATGAAGTCGGCACCATTCATGATCTCGTTTGCCACCTTATCGAATATGCACCCTACGCCGAGCTTGCGGTAACGGCAAGTACCAGCGAGGCTGTCCAGGCAGATTATAGCCTCCTCGCACAAGAACTTATATCATGATAACATTAGTACCATGGTGACGGGAGGTTGGCCATGCAATCGGGGTAAAACTACTGTATTTGGCATGCGATTTATGTTCCAAGGAGTGTTATACCAATAGGTTGACTGTTCGTGTTGAACATCAAAAGCCAGCCTTGCCTGGCGTTGGGACGTTGTCGAGCACGCTTCCGAACCTTTGTTGGTTGTTTACAGTGACACCGACCACAGTTCCGATGATAATCAACACAATAATTATTGCTACGACGATAAGCCAATCTTTTGTGCGCCTCCACTTCTTGGGAGCCATATCAAATGGCCTGTATTCTTTCTTGGGAGGCGTGCTCGATTCCATGGGATCGCGTGCTACAGGCGCTTCTATAGAAAAACGGGTAAGTGTTTGCGTTCGGATCCTAGGCACAGTAGGCTTCGGAGAGGTGTTTTTGCATGGAAGTAGCGAATGTACGCTGACTGGCCGGACTAACTGGTAATATTCTCCATGCCCTGTAGGTTCGCGGGCGGGATGGTGCGGAGGTGTTGTAGTCTGGCGTGCTGTGCTCCTCGTCGAGCATGAGACGGGCAGGAAGCAGCTCGACATCTCGGACTGGGCATATCCATGCCACATGGTAGTCCTGCGGTGTCAGCTTTTTGAGACCTTGCTGCGGCATCGTGGAGAGGCGAGTGGGCAAACGAAAGCGGTAATGGAGTGAGTTAGGCTTTGTTGAGGAGAGCAGGAGAAGGCTCGTGGAATGATTATCAGTGCAAGCAGAAGCGGGCTTGGCTTGAAAGAGACAGGAATGGCGCTGACCGAACGGATATGGGCCATGTTAAATAAAGAATCGAACGGAAAAGATAGGACTACGGGGCTGCACAAGGGAATAAAAAAGGGACACGTGGAAGCAGCCGTCCTCGGTAGGTCCCTTGCAGCCAACTTCCATGAAGCCCGAGCCCTCCAACCGATTCAAGGAACGGGCAACCAATCGCGTTAAGGGGAGGCGAATGTGCAAGTATTGCACGACAGTCTTGGGCCACCACAATTTAACGAACGGGCTGCCAATCCGGGCGGCCGTTTTCCGGCACCTTGGCGGAGGAGGGGCCGGCGCACTGCCCTCTCGAGGAAGATCAGAGGCCATATTTCCCCCTTTTGTTTCTCTGCTCAGGTGGTAGCCTCGCCGTGGTGATCTCTGGGGCCAAAAGAGGGGTAGATATTTTTGTAGTCAAGGCACCCACCGAAAGCCCAACAAGGCTGCCTCCTGCCCTTCTTGGGGATGCGCAATGGTACCGTACCCAACCTTGACCCTGCCTCGATGGATAGTCCAATCCCCATGGTCTTTTCCATGGCTCGGAGACTCCCTTGCACGTGAAAGTGCAGCTTTCCTTTCGCGGTGACTTTGGGTCGGCGAAGCTGAGGCGGCAGATGGCGTAGCAGTCCAGCCGGTTGAGGGCTCAGTGTAGGTGTGTGGTTGGCTTGGTGAGTTGCCACCGCCTGGCGCCTCGCGCGAGACAGCCTCCCCCTTCTGGCGTGTTCCTCTCGCTGCTTCCAAGGCTAGCGGTTGCATTCTGTAGATGACCATAGATTAAGACCGACCTATTGGCTCGTTGAATCACTCGGCTGACAAGCACGGCGCATATTTTGTAACTCAGCTGCAGGTAATTAATATATCAGCGTCGATCCTGGGAAGCAACGCGGCCATACAGCCCAGGTGAAAAAACCGGACACATCATAGTCCAGTCTGCCTGACCGGGCGCAGTAAGTTGCGCAAATGTGCTCGGACACGCCCAGAGCGACGAGTTGAGTTCGGGGCTGTATATTGCGTGACTACACCCACGTTTCTCCTCCCGAGTAACTAAGGGCTAGTAACTGCTTGATCCGTAGAAGCAACGGGGATCGCAATGTTCCAGCTGCTTATTTTCATTGCCATAGCAGTTCCCACGGCCTCCTCAAGGCCCAGGCTCAGACTGCATTGTTGGTCGTTGCCTCCTGGAGCAAGTTGAGCTGGTTCGTCAGTCAGATTACTGGTGAACCGAGTACACGTCTAGGGCAGCTAGGTAAAGAAAAACGCCCCCCTAAAATAAGGGACATGGATTTGGGATGACCACTAGTTTTTGATCCTCGGGATGCTTCCTTGTACTTGGGCAATCGTCGCCAAGCAAGGCCACTCTGCGGTCTGGTGTGGTCTGACGCAGCAGCAGTAGTGAGATAAAAAGAAAGAGCTACAGCATGGAGATCTCTCAATAGATCTTTGATGGAGCCACCTAGGAACCGTTTCTTTACGGGCCAAAAGCAGGCTTCTCCTCCTTCGAAATCTAGGCTGGGTCGCAGAAACCGTAGGCAGGCAACGACGAAACCAGCCAGCCAAGGAACTGCACGTATACTAAACGGCCTCACAAGGATCTGCATACCAATGCTGCAAGATGAAGGCGGGGGGACAGCTTGAAGCCACAAGGTATCCCACCGAGCTCTTGTGCCGTGGTCCTACATGGAAGCCTCAGCAGCCAGGGAGGGTTGCACAACGTAGGTAGGCTGGGGTTAGAAAGCAAGAACAGTACTTCAAGGCAGGCTCCAGCCCACACACACTGCATATGACTTGAGATTTTGCGCCAAGCTTTAGGTGACGCTGGGCGGGATTGAAAGACGACAGGGTCAACGCTTGGGGGTCAAACTGCAACCGAGTGTGGCTCGCCTGGATTAATTGCCAAGCCGTGTATATTACTGTCTAGTATGGGGGCACTGAGGTTGCAGTATGCCTCCAAGACTTCCTCCGCTTGACACTAGCCTCCCGGAAAGCCGCCGCTGGGGGAGCTTTGGTGGCGTGTCATATTTGGGTGCCACGGGGAGACCTCCCCGGTCATTTCCAAGGCGAGGCCTTGGAACATCCAAGACGAGCTGACGACTTGCTTCGCAGACTTTGACATTGAGCAACTCGAGCGATGCCGTGGATGTGGATGTCCTCAATAGCGACGCCACCGCTGACGTCCGGACCAGTTTCGTGCGGAAGCGGTTTGATGATCTGATGCGCCGTCGTCGATGTTGTCTGAATTGATTGTTGCCGAGGAGCTCATCAGTTCGACGCGCTCGAACACAGCAGATATGAGGTTGGCAGGCGTTCGACGCTCTCCTTTGTGGTCATCCAGAGCCACCGCGACATAATTGGGGTACAAGGTTCCGAGGCCGTGAATGAGGTTGTTGATTTGCCTCTCGTCGGGGATGCTGAACCCGGCCTGGTCCATCGCTTGGCGAACCTGAAACCACCGCTCCGCATACTTCTTAACGTCGCCGCCATACTTTTCGACTGTCATGCTGAGGTACTCCTTGATCAAAACGTGCACCCGGGCGTGAGCCATCTCGCTGATCGTGGCTACCACCTTGTCCCACAGCGCCTTGGGATCTTGATCATCATCGTCTTTAGCGGGCTTCCAACCGGCCATTTCGAGGTGTACCACAACTTTGTCGATACTGCTGCGGATACGCCACCACGCCATCGTACGCCGAGCGAGCCACTTGGAGACTTCCTCGCTATCCTCATCACCCGCAGGTCTTGCTGGCGGGTTGGCGGAGATGAAGGCGGCGCTGCGAGTTGCTGCGAGATGAGCGCGTACTGTACGCTTCCAGGCCTCAAAATTGCAGGGTCCCAGCAGCTCTGGGATCTCCGCCATTTTGTCGGTTGGTGTAGGAAAAGGAAAAAGAAAGGAGTCGAGCGGGATGATTGCTGGTCTCCTGCGGCAATGCTCGCTTTATTGTAGTGACTTGAAGCTGATGGTGGTAGCGAACGCGTGTTCTCTCGTGTGTACACGCGCCGTGGGCGCAGTCCGTCGAAAATCGCTAGATAGGAGCTCGCGGATACTTCGAATAGCTTCAGATTGATTGTAGCAGGCGGAACTAAGGGCCACGACCTGTTGGATGCCTCGTGCCCAAAGAGGAAAAAAGTCAAGTAAGTGCATGTGTTCGCGCCACATCTCCCGAGCCACAGCGAGTGCACCGTGCACCCGCACGTGAGTAGTGCTTAGGTAGGTAGGCACCTTACGTCCTCCTCACCTCAAACAGATTGCTCTCTGGCTCGTCAACGTGCAAAATGGATCCAATCAACGCCGGTAACCCCTGAGCGCCCATTATACAAAGACACCTCTCTGCTTCTGGCTACAACATTGGAGAATTTTAAACCTCGGTCCCTAGCGTTCAGCTGGGATGGGTGCAAAGTTCGTGGGACGGCTGTCCCAGACGAGGGCCTGGGGATTATATATGAAAGATCCATATCTAAGGAAAGGTGAGGCTGTGGTTGTTGGCAGTACAATGACATTTGAGGGCAGCATCGTGGCTGGGGCCATTGAGGTGCAGGCCGGACCCATTTTCGGGTGCGGGTGGCCCTGCACCGAAGGATGGAAATGAAGCGAGCACACCGCGAAGGCCTTGGCGAGGACCCCCTGTAGACCAAAACATGTACAAAATAACCTTCATTTCGTCAATCTAGAATCAGGTTATGCTAGACCGATGCCCTACTCACTAAAGTTGGCTTTTCGCCCGTGACGGCTTCGAGCATTGCTGATCCGCCATAAACTCGACCGAACCCACACAGCCAAGGTTGCTTCTTGGTAGGGATAGTGTCAATGTCGCGCACCACCACGGCACTCTCCTCGGACCAGGGGCCGTCCACCACGCCGTCGACGGCCCCTCCAGCAGCGGCGGCCCTCACGACCCCATTCACGGCGCCGCCGTCGTGCGACGACATATGGATCAAAACAAGGGGCAGCTTTGTGGCCACGTTTGCCACGAATCACTCCAAGACCACCCACCTGTGGGTGACCATCACCGCCTCGAACCAGGCGGACCCTCGGTTCGCGCCGTGCCAGCCGCCGGGCTGGGACGCCGGCCCGACCGGGACCACGGGCACGACCACCCACGACGGCATCCTCACCTTCAGCCCGGCCGTGTGCCCGAGCGGCTGGACGGCCTGGTGGCTGGGCCACACCTACGTCCCCTCCGTCACGGGGATCGGCATCTTCACCACGACCACCTACCGCACCATCTCCACCGCCAACTGCTGCGCCCCCGGCTTCACCTTTGGCTACCCGGGGCAAACTGTCGGCGAGGCACTGAGGGGGCTGGGCACATTCACGACATGGCCGGGGTGCCTCCAGACCATCACCTTCACGGAGCCGTACCGGGGAGGCCACGTAAAAGTCCACCGCTCCTGGCACGTCAGCTGGGAGGCGTCCGACACGACCTCCATGTCGCCGACGCCGCCCGAGCTGCCCTGCTACGACCCGACGGTGACGAGCTGGCTGCCCGGCGAGACTATCCCGGAGCAGTACTGCAGGCCGATGCCGCTTCCCAACGACGACGAGTGGAACCAGTCCGTGGCGTGGTTTCTGATAGTAGGGGTGCCGCTCCTGTTTGTCGCTCTGGCCGCCACCGCCTGTTTCATTTGTTGCCTCTGTCGGCGGAGGCGGAGGCAGAACAGCAAGGATAACGCGGAGCAGATAAAAATAGAGAAATTAGAACTAAGTCACAACAAGCAACCTGGGTTAAAGGAGCTGGAAAAGGTGGTGGAGCCTCAACGTGTGCAAATTACCCAGAACGAACGGGAGAAGATACAGAAAGCACGGCCTGTGCAGGGGGTACAAGAGAAGATGGAGGAGAAAGAGCAAGAGGAGACGCAGGAAACACATCAAGTACAGCCTGTGCAGAAAGAACAGGAGAAAGTGCAGTAAACGGTACAAGAACCTCTACCCGCTCAGGCAAGCTAAGCGCCAGAGAGCCGGATAGAGTGGGGAAAACTTTGATGCAATGGGCACCGACGCTATCACCGGCCTTTCACACACGTTTTGAGTGCTAGCTTGCCAGCCTGGTAGCAAAAAAATTCCCCCAGCCTATCCCCTTCCGGTATATCGCAAAGATCCCCGTGATCATGTCCTGAGATCCATTACATCTTTCGCCCTCACGGCAAGGCCAAGCTCTATCAGCCTGGTCTCCATGGTCTTGCCGGTATCCGTTCCTCGTGAGGATACGTCTTTGAAGGCCTCACGGAGTTGCACGATAGCCTCCCCGTGTTCACCCTCACTTGGATCCAGAAAAAGCGTCGTAGACAGCACGCCAGTGATCCTTTCGAATAGAAACTCTCGGTCTCCTTGATTGGTAATCTCCACGCAGATTGGGGGTGTCTCCTTGTCGAAGAGCTGCGGACTGAAAAGAATCGGACTTTGTTGGGACTCCATTTTCGGAAGCCGCAGGACGACTCTCTCGACCTGTTCGAGCTCGGGGCTGCCACGAATGCGGGCGCGCTGGCTCCGGCAGTGATCGAGGAGTATATTTAGTATCAACTTTGCGGGAACGGCGAAGACGGCATGGAGATCCTCCGCAGTTTTCACCTTGTGAAGTCTAAATACGGGCGTTAACCCCCGCTGAATTTCGGCAACGGAAAAGAAAACGAGGTCTTGAGAGCTTGCCCCGTGCTCTAAAAGGCTTGTAATCGTTCCGAGTGTGTGGAGGACGCGCTCGTCTGAGTATTCCCCCACTTTCCGGTAAATAGGTTGCGTCAAAACACTGACGAGAGGGGTCATCATCGGCCACAGTTGCCTGGTCATCGGCATCGATGTCAGGGTGTAGAAGTCGAAAGGAAAAGAGCCTGCAGCGTTTGGGTCAGCTCCTGCATCCAGCAGAAACCTCACCAAGTCCCTCCGTGCTTTCAATGTGTGTTCATCCCAGGGCGAGAGCCCCGCAACCGTGTACAGTAGGAGCTGTGAAAGATCTGGACGAGATATCCGCCTCGAGTGGAGTTCTTCGGTGATGTAGCCGATAATTCTTTCGTCTCCCCAGCCTGCTGCCAACATAAGAAACTCCTCCGGCCCACAAAACAAGCCCCGGGTGATGAAGTCTCTTGGGAATCTGTGGCCGCGACTTCTGCGTTTATCCGGCGGAACGATTGCGAATAGACGCTGGGAGTGAAAAAGTTGCTGCAGGCTCTGAAATGCCTGCTGCAGTTCTTGATTTAGGGGTGGCGTGACCTTCAGCTTGTCTGTAGGAGACGGATCTTGGGCTGGTGTACTGTTCAGTAGACCTAGATGTGACATCAGGCTGCTGGGGCCCTCCTCACCAACCCGGATGCCGGCGAGACGGCTGGCGTCGGGAACGAAGAGGAATAAAGAGCAGGCGGCCGCTGTTGCCTTCAGTGTTCTGATCCATACTTGCAATATCGATAGCTGGGCGTGTGCGAGGATGGCTTGAGCTGAAGTGGACTCGATGAAAAAATCGAGGAAACATCGATGCCCGAATTCGAAGGTGGTGCTTTCGTTCACATCCGAAAAAAAGTGACAATCCCCTCCCCATGGGTAGATGATGAATCGTGGCCAGTGAGTATTTGTTCTCAGCTCTATAAATCCCACACATGTCGCTTCGACATCTGACTTAAGCCATTTGAGGTTTTCATGGAGGAGGTCCATCGTGGCCTTGAACTGCTCATCGGACTCCAACATGTCAAGGCTGGGGATAAGGTCTGGCTTGGAAGCGAGGAGGAGATGAAGTGGAGTGATTGGTACGTGGCGCCGAAGATATGGATTCAGAACGGTTTTGAGAATCACATTGAGGTAGAATGCTGCTCGTTCCCTGTAGACTCGCCTGTCGTCGCCAAGTCTTGCCCACATATCCTCGCACATACTTTCAATTCTTGATGGGAGAACGCCGATTCTCTCCGCAACATCCTGGCGGGTCGCCAAGGTCCCGTGTTCCATGCCTCTCTTGATGCTGGTGACGGCAAGTCGGATCCACAGGAAGACGCCCTCGGCCTTTCTTACAAGCCCATCAACCAGGGAGGAGTCCAGCAGAGAGCCGGGAACTGTTCTGCTGCCAACACCGAGGCGCTCATGCGCGTATGCATAAATATCATTACGGTTGAGATGGTGGACTTTGAGCTGTGGGAACCGACCCAGGCGACTCTTGAGTGTGGGTTCCGGGCGGGAGGAGACGCAAATCTTCAAGCTGGGGATGTGCTCTAGCTCGTCGATGAAGTCCATCACCGCAAATTGTTCGTCGCTGGATTTGACTTCATCGACGCCGTCGAGAAACATGCAGACAGGTCGGGAGTATTTGTTCAACAGCGCCAGGAGAGATCGTTGAAGCTCCCGGACGGACCAGTCCGAGTCCGAGCGTTTGGCAGAAATTCCGGGTGTTTGTTCTAGCAAACAGACGAGGGATCCCGTGTCTTGTTCGACCAGCTGGAACACTAGCGAGCATAGAAGGCCTTTGAAGTTTTGCTGCATTTCTGATCCGGCGCGCCAAAAGAAGTGTGAGACCCGTAGAGTGTTGGGTCTTCCTGAATCAAGGAGACGTTGGGTTTCTGGATTGTGGAAGAGATAGCTGAGGAGAGTAGACTTCCCCGCCCCAGGCTTGCCACTGATCCAGTAGATCTTGACATCCGAGCGCAGCCATCCAGGAAAGCTGTCCCAGTCAGTGGCGAGGTGCTCCTTCTCGCCTAAGACCCACTGTAAGGTGTGCCTGTGCTCGGGGTCTATGCTGTTCTTGCGTCCGTTCATTTCCGGAAACCTGAGGCTCTGTAGAACACGGTCTCTCTTGGCCTCGAGAGCAGCGTCTAAATGGAAGTTCTCTGCCCCATTCAACACTTGGTGTGTAGACTCGCGCGCCACCGCACTGATCTGAACAGCAAGTTCGTGGCTCGATCGACTGATCTCCTGTGTTATGTGCTGCTTGACCCCGGCTTCAGATCTCTGGCTCTCTGCCGAGACAGCACCGCGGATTGCGACAGCCTCGGAGGAGACAAGATTGGTGAGGCTGCGTTGCCCTAGTTTGTATTCGCGCACGAACTCTTGATGGTTTTGGCTGAGACTGTCGAGCTGGATGTTGGAACTGTCGATTCTTTTCCTACGGGTCGAAAGGGCATGTGTTAGCATCAAGGGCGAAGGTCATAGGGTACCCGGTCTATTTGTGCTTCGCGAGATGGTTAGGTTAGATAGCACTGGCAATAACTTACAAGATCTGGGCCATCATCCCTGTATTCATTAAGCTTTCCACTGCGTGGAGATTTTCCTCCAAGATCTTCAGTTCTCCCTTGTTCCAGAAGCTCTTTATGCCAATCCTCACGGCCGTGACACGACTGCCACCCGCGGCCGGGCCTGTCAGGCGGCTCACCCCATCCACGAGGGCGCGTGAGACAGTCTGGCACTTTTGGCACACCTCAAGTAGGTCATTTTCGAGCCCGGGCTGCGTTGCGTTGTTGGCGGTTGCTGCCACGCAGGCGGCATGGACCTCGGTCGCGATCTTGTCGAGCAGGGCTGCTTTGTCGGTTAGGATGGCATTGCTGTCGATTGCTCCTGTGTGAAAGACCTGGCGAGATGTGGTGATGATCTCCCTCCCGATTCCGACGATCTGGAACACGTTGCATGCCAGGCTCAGCGCCGCAAGGGGTTCAAGGCCGGCCATGGCGACTAGTTGGGGGCCTGGCAGCAGGCAGAGCAACAACGGGCCGACAGATTGACGGGTGCAAGACTGCAGAGGCAGCGGGGAACCAAGTAGGAAGATAGGGAGGACTACCTACCTACCTAAGGTCGTGAGACTATCGTGTGAAAGAGAACGAGCTCGTGGGAGTAAAGAGCGGCAAACAACGTCGGGCCTCGTTTGTGTGGCGGAGTTGGGCACAAGGGGCTAGGCAGGGGGCTGCTGTGTGCCAGCAGCCAATCCTAGCACGTCGCTTGATAAAAACAGCCGCTGCAGCTGCAGACTTGCAGCTGGCCGACCCGAGCGCTGAACGAGTGCTATCCAAGCCACGAAGAAGGTCGCTTTCTTGGCTGCCTTGCAAACTGTCTCGCAAACCGCCTCGCCCGGCTGCTTTCTCGCCACCCCACGCGTGCACGACAGGCTATCTACCTAGGTAGGCCGGTATCTAGGTACCTAGAGGTAGGTATCTACCACACAGGTACACGAGCGCCCCCAGCCTAAGTATTTTATCACCCCGAGGCGGCTCAACAAAAGGCACCATGTAATGATGCAGGTCAATCCGCATGCATTTCATGGCGTTATCAAGAGAATAAACACGAATCGCACACCTACGCCTTTTGGCAGCACTACGTTTGGACCGATCCAGATTGGGCAAGAAGGGGGGTTCAACGCTTTCCGTGGCACCTCAGGAGGGAGGATCACACCGATCCATTGGGAGTAGCCCAAGATGGCCAAGGCTGTGTAACTTACTGCCAGACACCAGCGATATGGCCCAACCAATCGGTGCCCCTCTCGCGCAACTTTGCTCGACTTGTATGGGAGAGAATCGTGGGCTTTGTTCGGGGCTGACATCATCGCAGTCTTCGCCGTGCAGATACCATTCTCCCTCTGTGCTGGCATAAGAAACCAAGTGCATACCTGCGGTTTGGGCTACCTAGGTCCTAGGGATGTAGTAGGGAGGTGTATATATCATGGGACATGTGCCCCAGCTCGGCCGGATAACCCATTGCTGCTTGGTAGGTATCCTCTCCACGCAGCAAAATTCAATAGTCGCCGCTCGATAGCAAATCGGCAGATGCAAGAGGCTCTCCACCATTACGCTTGGGGCCCTCGGAGGAAGGCCTGCAGCGGTCATAAGCCATTTCCCACGTCTCCCTAGTCGGTCATCGTTACAAGTACCACGAAAAATAACGAAGTTCTATTCGAAGTACCGTAGATGATGGCGGGTATTGATGGTTCTTGCTAGTTTGCTTTGGTTAAGCGTATAATCTGGCAAGTATTCTGGCAAAGGACTGTTGAAGTGGACCATTTGCTTGATTGCGTAAACAAAATTCGGTTGTGTGCCGGTTGTAGATTGAGAGTTGTCTGTCAGTTTTGGACTTTGGGTTCCAAAAATGGACGTCTTGGATCCCATTTGCTCCCAGCCTCACCGTCCAACAAAGAAAGGGGACCTTGAAGTGATCCAGCCATGGGTGGGCGCACCCTTCTGCCACCGACAAGCAAAATTCCACCCGATTCGCGTGAGATAATTATCATGCCGTCGCACGCCCTGGGCTTGCTTATGGCCCAAACAACTCCACCAACCGGCCTCCACTGCCAACAAGAGACCACCCGTATACGATGCAACTTTTGGCGAGATTGGATCGCGCTTTAGGGACTTTAGGACCCGAGACGGCCCGAGACAGAGGGTTGTCGACGCGGTTCAAAAGTTCCTGCCGTCGCGCAGGGCGCCTTCCCCTTCGCCGTCGCTGCCACCGTTTTCGACAGACGTGGTATGGTTCTAACTAAACCTGCCGCCGTCCAAGCTTGCCAGCGCGTCGCCGCTCCTCCGGCTGAGGCCAAGTTGCCGAACCGTCAAGCATGGAATCCAGCAGCAGTCTGGAGATGCCGCGATGACAGGTAGGCTCGACGACGACGACGACGGCCATGTCGCTACGCTCTCTGGCAGCTTAACCCGGACCCCTGGGCCGGCCGTTGGCACTTCCTGGCTCCATGCCTTGCCCGCCGCCCCTGGCACGACCGGGCCCTCGAGGCGGCGTCCCGCCCCGGCCCCGAGCTCTACGGCGCCGACTCGCGCGCCGACGTCTGGACGCTCGGGAACCGGCTCTTTGGCACCGCCGACGACCCGGCCGTGCGCTTCCTCCACGCCGACATCTACGACGAGGGCGACGAGAAGCCCACCGAGCTCGAGCCCCTGCGCGGGCGCGTCGACGTCCTCATCGTGTGCGGCGTTACGGACTTCTTTGACCACCCGAGCAACGGCTTTTGCCTATGGCCCGCGGTGCAGCGGCTGACCAAGCCCGGGTCGCTGGTCGTCGGCTGGAGCCTGGGGATGTCTGCGGGCCAGTCCATGGAGCTGCACGGTCGATTCTACCACGACACGGCCGTCTTCCGCGAGATGATCCGGGTTGACTACTGCGCCGGGAGATACAGCCGGGACGTCAATAGCGAGGTGCCTATTCAGGAGCTCGGATGGGATCAGTCGGATCTCGACTGCCTCCCTCCAGTCGACGCCACATTTCCCTATTCTGCCACGCCTCATCCTCCACCAAACGTGACTGGGCGCGAATTTGTTCTCACGAAACTGGGGGACTGGCAGCCTTGATAACGATAACGCGCAGGTGCCAGCACGGAGCATGGTTCCTTTCGCCCAGCTCTTTACCTCCGGCACCGAGCTTCTCTCTGGTGTTGGGGTGCTAATGGTGGGGTGTCATTGGCTAGAGGCCGAGGATTCCGAGTCCCATTTTCTCTCCCAGTATTAATCCATCCCTAAAGAGGACTGGATGCCATATACTCCAGCAGGTATGGTCGTATGTGGCAGTTAACTAGAGTATGGCTAGCTATAACTCTGTCCTATGGCAAGATTTCCTGGTAGCACCGTTGAGACGCAGACGTCAAAGATAGAATGGCTGGCGACGGAACGGCAGGCTCAGAGTCAGGTCCCTAGACCAGAGCAAGGGTAAAAATCCACGAGTCGTACTGCTGCAACCATCAGGGCATCCAAGTGGGATTGAGGGCCCCGCCAGGGCGGCTCGGACTCGGCGTAGGGCCGCAGGCCGGGAGTTTATTCTGACTTGGACCCAAGGCCCCGCCCAGTCGCTGGCACGGTTGTGTAGCATCTACAAAAGCCTGCATGCCCACCCCGTGGGAGGCAAGTTATGTTAGGAGCCCTGAGGATATCTGATATCTGGAACACAAAACCTAACAGCATTCCCCACCCCAACCCCCCAACCATACGGATTCGACAAGCACCAAGGGACCAACCGAACCTTAGTCATGGCTTCTTCCCCCTCCTACGAGTTCTATAGCCGGCTGGTTGCCGCCTTCGAGGCCGACGAGAGCGGCCTCCTCGGGCGCGTGAGCCTGCTGCACTCGACCGTTGGCATGATCCAGTACGTCTACTACATCCACCTCACGCACGCCGACGGCAGGGGCCCGCTGCCGCTATGGATCCACCTCTTCCACCTCGCGCACGACTCGGTCTTTGCCTGGGTGCTCGCCACCGAGGCGCCCCGGCACGGCAACCACGCCTACTTCACCTCCATGTCCAAGGGCCTGGCCGTGTGGAGCCTGCTCGAGGTCTACTGCATCTACCGCGCCGTCGTCCACGAGCGCGAGGGCCTGTTTGCCGACAAGGACGACGGCGACAAGAAAAAGGGCGGCAGCGGCAGCGGCAACGGCAACAACAGGCCAGATAGGACCCTCGCCTACGTCCACTGCCTACTCCAGCTCTTCACCTTCTACTGCCTCGTCCTCACCGTCAACTACATGGTCGGCCCGGAAGCGTTCCCGCACTGGACGCTGCTGGCCAAGGTGCTCGCCTGCGTCGGGCCCGGCGGCCTGTGGCTGGAGCGGGGGTCACGCAGGGGCGCGAGGATGGGCCTGGCCGTGCTGTCGGTCGTCGACGCGGTGACGTGTTTCTCGCCCTACTCGAGGTGGGTGCTCGTGTGGCCCGAGGTGTTTGACAACCCGGTCTTCTACCTCACGGGCGTCTGCTGCACCATGGTCGCGCTGTTCAACGTGTACGTTTTGACGAGACTGCCATATGTCTGATGGACTGTGGTTGGTGTGTGGGAAGATTATCTGGCAAAAAAAAGCGTGTATCTTATGTCACAGTATCTTTTGTAGCAGTTTGTGTTCTATGAGACAGTACCGTCTGCAGAAATACAAGGCTGCCCACGGACTTGATAGCTTGAAAAGAATACATACAGTCACACGTCACCAAACCTTGCTTGCCTTCCTCCCTACTTGCGAACGACAGCCTTCAACCCCAGCCATAGCGGCCCCTTTTCCCACAAATGCCATAGGTTCTGGCTGCCCATCCAGTCCCATTCCGTCCTGTTCTCGATGTCATACTGCCACACCAGCCTCGCAATCACGAGCTTGATCTCAAAGTATGCCAGGTTCCTGGCGATGCACGCGCGCGGACCGACCGAAAACGGCTGCGAGGCGTCGCGTCGGTCGCCGGCAAACTCCTCGCCGCCGCCGCCCAGCCAGCGCTCCGGGACGAACTCGGCGGCGCGGGAGAAGTTGAGCGGGCTGCGGGCGGCGGCGTACTTGGGGACGCTGACGACGACGCCCCCCGGCAGCAGGTCCCCGTCCACGGCGGCCCCGCCTGCGGGCACGATGCGGTAGTGCGGCTGGGGCAGGGGCGGGTACACCCGGAGCGCCTCCTCGACGCACGCGAGCAGGTACCGGCAGCCGTTGACGCCGGCGGGCGTGATCTGGTCCGCGCGGGAGAAGGCGGTGCGGACCTCGGCCGTGAGCCTGTCGAGCACGCGCGGGTTCTGGGTCAGGAGCCAGGTGAGGCCTGTCGGACGAGGGGGGGGTTGGTCAGAAACTGGGCGGGCGCAAAGGCTTGCGGACGCGTTGGCGGGGGAGAGTGAAATCATACCGGCCAGCGCTGCCGCTGTGGTTTCGCTCCCGGCGCCGATGAGCAGGGTCGAGTTGCCCTCCAGCTGGTTAAAAGACATCTTGCCCTGGTTGTAGGCCTCGACCATCTTTTCTGTGAAATCGGGGATCTTTGGCTGCATTGAAAGTCGATACTTGAGTTTCTCCTACGGATCCCACCTTTGTTAGCAAGATAGAAAAAGAAATGCCCATGGGCCATGGGCTAGGTAACTTACGGCTTGCAGAACCCCGGCTCTGCGTCTGTCTTCTCTCAACTTGGCGGGAATCAACCACAAAGCAATCGGGATGCGCAGGAGGCGGGGAAAGGGAAGCAGCACTTGGCCATAGAGCAATAGCTTGCCAAACGACATGAAGAGCTTGATCCAGTCGTGTAGAGAAGATGTCCGAAGACAGTCAAAGGACTCCCCAAAGGCTTGTTGCTGTTAGACAGGCGATTGTCAGAAAAGGGGTATCGGAATTGTAACTCACTAAGAAAGCCGATAAAGTCAAACGTCAAAAACTGCCAAAAGAAATGATGTCAAGTTAGCGTCTCTTGGACAGGCGCTGGTTAGAGCAGCTGGCATGCAGCAAACCCACATTGTACCAGTTCATGATGTTGACGGGCCGTGAGCCTCCCTGGGACTCGCGCTCGATCCCCTCAAACATGCGGTCCACGTGCGACTTGAAGACGGCCTGCTGCGCCGCGAGGGCCCTCTCGGAGAAGCCGTGGTGGAACAGCCTCCGGACGTAGCCGTGGTACTCCCTGTCCGCGTTGTGCAGCGTCGGCTCCTCAAAGACGGCCGACGCGAAGGCCTGCTTGCCGAACTCGGGCTGGCCCGCCGCCTTGTGGCCGTAAATCTCCTTCCATTGCTGGGGGTTGATGTACGACAGGCCGCCGGGCGTCGTCCTCACGACGGGCCCGTACCTCTCGTGCGCCTCGGAGATGTGCACGTGCGCCTTGCCGCTGAGGTACGACGAGATGAGCCAAAAGGGAGTGGCCGCCGCCAGGCGGGGACCGGGGTACTTGGATAGCGGGTGGAAGTAAAGGTTGTAGATGCAAAGGGCCGTGTAGTAGGTCAAGCTCTGCGCCATGTCGGGGTTGTCAGAGCATTGGCGTCACGGGGAGCAGCTGGAACGACTTACCGCCACAACGACAAGCGCGGGGAGGATCCACAGATACTGCGGCCTTGGGAAGCCCACGGGCGCGGTGAGGATACCTATCAGCCCCATGGCTACCTACTGGATCAGGGTGGATTGGATGCTATGTGGCTACCAAAGCAGGTGGTAGTGAGCCAGGAAACGGTGGTTTTATTATTAACTTGTCCCTTGGAGATGAGCGAGTCAAAGGGATAGTTCTTGACTCGGGCTGGCCCTTGCCTACATCGCATCGTCTGCCGAAAAACACCGACACCGGGCCGATATTGATCACGATGCAGCAGCCCAGGGAGGTCGTGGGTCTTGGGGGTTACCCTCGCCGGGCCGGTTTGACTCAACAACATCCGTGGGTCATTGTGGAGAAGTTGTTGTCTGATCCCTCCTGGTGCCGGGAAAGAGAACTGCCATGTAAGGGGCATCGAAGTATGTAAGGGGGAGGGGGGTCTCCTTAACCAACCCTGATGGGGAAGCAAAGCAAAGTCCTGTCTATAGAGAAAGAAAAAACAAAACACCTACGACAATCCCGTGAGGAAAAAAAAAGAACAAAGAAAAGAGAAAAAAAAAAACAAACATCATCAGCCCTTCGGAATCATGACTCCCATCGACATGGCGGCCGAGATGGACAGGACCCTCCTTCCACACCGCCTCAAGCAGCTCGCAGAAACCGAGCCGGACCGGATATGGGCGTCCTGCGCCGTCAGCCAGGACGTGGCCAAGGACGGGTTCCGAGACTTTACGCTGGCGCAGTACGCGAGAGCCGTGGACCGCATGTCGTGGCACATGGAGGCGGCGCTGGGCGGCAAGAGCGGCACGTTCGAGACGGTCATGTACTTTGGGCTGCCCGACGTGCGGTACGGCATCGTGCTGATGGCGGCCATCAACACGGGCTACAAGGTCATGTTCTGCTCGCACTTCAACAGCGCCTACTTCAACCAGAGCCTTTGCGAGCGCACCGGCTGCGGCGCCGTGCTGCACTCGGAGGGCGTCGCCCCCACCGTCGACGCGCTGCTGGAGGCCCTCCCCTCGGTGCGGGCGGTCCCGGTTCCGGGCCTGGCCGAGCTCGTGGACCTCGGCGGGGAGGATCCCGTGCCGCCGTACCCCTACGACAAAAACTTTGACGACGGCATCGACGACCCCATGTTCGTGACCCACACCTCGGGCACAACCGGCCTGCCCAAGCCCGTCGTCATGACCCAGAGGTCGCTCATCATCGCCAGCGCCTGGACAAAGGTGCCGGACCTGGACGGCAGGCCGCCCGTGGCCAAGGTGATGGAGGAGGGCCGCCGCTGCTTCCTGGGGTTCCCGCTCTTCCAGTTCTCGGGCGTGGCCATGGGGCTGTGGGAGGTGTTCTACCGGGGCAAGACGCTGGTGCTGCCGTGCGACCAGCCCGGCTGGGCGCCGCCGGCGACGCTGGAGCAGATCCTGGAGCACGGCAACCTCGACTGCTTCGTCGGCATCCCCTACTACCTGGAGCTGATGGCCAAGTCGCCGCGCATGATGAAGGTGGTGGGCACGCGCCTCCGGTACATTCTCTACGGCGGCGCGGCGCTCAACCCGGCCACGGGCGACCTGCTGGCGGCGCGGTGCCGCCACTTCTTCAGCTGCTTCGGGTCGACCGAGAGCGGCGTGGCCTTCACGCACCTCATCGGGCGCGAGGACTGGGCCTGGTTCTGCTTCAACGAGGAGCAGAGCGGGATCCGGTGGGAGCCGCAGGAGCGGCTGGCGCACGGCGACGTCGTCGACGTCGACGGTGGGGTGCACGAGCTGACGTACGTCAGGAACGACGTGGTGGCGCGGTCACAACCCATCTTCTGGCACGTGGCCGACGGCGGCGACACGATCCGCACGGCCGACCTCTTCGTCAAGCACCCGACCAAGGAGCACCTGTGGCGGTACTACGCGCGCAAGGACGACATGGTGGTGACCAAGTACGGCTGGAACATCAACCCGGTCATGGTGGAGGGCGAGATCGCGCAGCACCCAGCCGTCAGGCGCGTGCTGGTGGGCGGGGCTGGCAGGGAGGCCATCTTTGCCATCGTGGAGCTCGGCGAGGACGACGGCAGCCGAGGCGGCGGGGGCGAGGAGGAGGCGCTCGGGCGCGTCTGGGCGTCGATCGGGGCCCAGGCCAACGCCAAGCTCGACAAAATCGCGCAGCTGGCCAGGGAGCGCATCATCCTGGCCGATGCCAAGAACAAGCCCATCCCGCTCACGCCCAAGGGCAACGTGCTGAGGGCCCAGGCCCTGAAGCTGTACGCGAGGGAGATAGAGGAAATGTACGCGCGGGCGGGCGGGGCATAGGCGTGTCAGGGAAGCCGATATGTGCCAGCTGTATTGTAACCTGGGTACCTTGGATACCTGATCCCTAGAACTTACACAGATCATGTGGGCAGGCCGCCTCATTGCTTGTCGATGAATCATCTTGGCATTTGCACGAGTAGTTCCCAGTCGAGCATCAATCCATCGTTTATTTCTCCACTGGTGACGGGTCTGCCCATCCCCTTTTTTTTCTTCTTCTCTTTTTCTTGAGTGCTGTTGTCCGGCGGGCTTCCCAGAGAGGTAACTGGCCTGCAGAAGGCGGACTTGGAAGCATCGCAATGACGAAAGTTTTAACTGGCCTGTTTTTGCTTGCAAGCCGTGGCATCTACGGCCAGTAGGACAAGGGCAATGAAAGCACAGTGATGATATCGGGTCTCCAAACATGTCTGAATCTACTTCTAACCGGCTTCTATACAAGCCCGAGTCCAGCTAAATCTCACGGGGCGTGAGATTAACCATCAGCGGCGGCTTTTCCCACAGGCCAAAGACGGGCTGCTTGATCCAGCCCGCGCTCTCGGGCGCCAGCTCGGCGTCAAAGTTCCACAGCATCTTGATCAAGGCCGTCCTGATCTCGGCCCAGGCAAGGCTACATCACCCCAGTCGGGTTGTTAGCCATCGGGGCTGTCCTCTGGGGCGGGGGATCACACACGAGACTTGGGGGAACTTACTTTTGGCCGATGCAGTTCCGCGGCCCGATGGAAAAGGGCTGCACGGCGCGTCGACGGTCGCCTTGGAAGCGTGGGTCCGCGTCGGGCAGCCAGCGTTCCGGCACGAAGGACTCGGGGTTCGCAAAGTTTGCGGCCGAGTGGCCAGCGGCGTACTGGGTCACCGCAACGGCCGTCTAGGTGTGCAGGAGAGGATTTGTTAGTCAAGAGACAGAAGGAGTACCAAAGGCCAAAAAGACAACACGAGACAAAAACAACTCACCCCCTTGGGCAAAAAATGGCCGCAGACCCGGCCGCCGCCCTCGGGCACCTTGCGCGGCGGGCCCACGGGGATGGGCGGGTACAGCCTAAAGGTCTCCTGTATGACGGCGGTGAGGTACGGCAGCTGCTGCGCCGTGGTGAAGCTGATGTCCTCGGGCCTGCCGAAGCGGCCACGTATCTCGGCCACCAGCCGCCTGTGCACCTCGGGGTGGCTCAGCACCAAGAAGGTGCAGCCCGAGAGCAGGGTCGACGTGGTCTCGCTGCCCGCGAAGACAAACAGATCCGCGTTGGCGTCCAGCTCCTTCCTCGAGAGGTCCGGGCCGCCGCCGCCGCCGCCGCCGCCGCCCGCCTTGCCGCCCTCCCCCATGATGCGGGACATGAAGTCCGGGCGGCCGGTGCCGGCCTCGAGACGTTCCGTAACGCGGGCAACGCTGTACTTGAGGCGGTCCCAGCGGTCGCGCACGAGCGCCGGCTTGAGGGCCACCACGGCCGCGATGACGAGCCACTTGACGGCCGGCAGGTAGTCGGCGTTGTTGGCAAAGATGCCGGCCTTTGTGCTCGAGAAGATGGTCGAGACCCACGGGTGGTACTTGCTCTCGGCCAGGCAGAAGAAGGGCTTGCCGAACGTCAGGTCGCCGATGATGTCGAAGGCGCAGTAGTTGTACCACTTGACCATGTCGGCAAGCGCGTGCCCGTCACCTGCCTGCTCGGCCGCCATGCCCCGCAGCTTCTGCACCATGTAGTCGATGTACGAGGTGATGATGGCCTCCTGCTCGCGCAGCGTCTTCTCGGAGAAGGCGTGCGAGAGCATCCTGCGCTGGCGCCCGTGGCTGGCGTGGTCCGCCGTCAGTATGTCGCGCACCCCGTCCGGCGGCATCGGGTAGAAGCGCAGGTCCTTGGGGAACTCGTTTCCGCCCTGCGACTTGAAGCCAAAGATGTCCTTCCACGCGTCCGGATGGATGAACTGGACCTCGTCGGGCGCGATCCGGAACACCTCGCCATACTGGTCGTGGAGCTGCTTGACCCGGAACGGGAGCTGGCCAGAGCAGACCCAGTAGATGTACGGGAGGCGCGAGAACCGACAGTAGACGGGACCAGGGATGCCGGCCAGGGGGTCGCTACAAAGCTGCCAAAGCACCGAAAGGAGCCATAGTACAGCCTGGCGGCAGTGTGGTTAGCGGTCATGCTATTGCGTCTAGCAGCCTTCAGGAGACTCGACTCACAAGCGTGTTCACGCCGTAGCAGAGGAGGGTGGTCCATGATGTCCCTGCGAGCAGACCGACTGCGGATTCCAGCTGCATCCTCTAAACTATTGCTTCGACTAGAACGAGTATACGAAAAAAAAAGTGCGATAATGAGTCTGGATCAAAAATAAACGGGCTGGTTTACCAGTCGACAAACCAAGACGGTGACCGGCTGATTGTATAAGTAACGTACCTGCTATACCTCCCTCCTGCCGAGGTAGAGAGGGATTTTGTTCCGCTGTAGCTTGCCTTGGCCAAGATCCCCTCTTGTGGAAACTGTGGGTGCCTCCGGGGCATGTGACAGAGTGTTACAGCGCCGCCAAGATGGAGATGCCAGACTGCTGCGACCCGGAGCCCTGCATATGACGGTGAAAGCGAGAGAAAGGGGCAGGTGGGGGAGACGAGTCGTGGTGATGGTTTCTGCTGCGTCTGGGAAGGCACATGTATGCTCGATCGGAGGTCAAAACGCTTCCATGGGGGCTAGTCTGGAGTCGAGTAGCCATGCACTTTTCTTCCCGGGAGTAGTACCGCATTCGTGTCTCCCCTACTGAGCCCCAAGTCCATCGGGCCACCAACCATATCTGTACTAAACTTTAGCGCCCAACCACAGCAGGCACATTTCTGGTGCAAACTGGAAACTTCACTTCTAGGCAGGGTATCTAAAAAGAAAAAGGGAATAGTATATTGACGGATTTATGATGTAGTCACGTCGACACGGCAAAATCGCCGTAGGCTACTTTGTTATACATCAAGTGACAGACACCGGGTCTTACGGATAACGTCTCCCTCGTCCCCAAAGTACCGCCCCGTGCTAAAGCTGCAAGTGCCGGCGCGAACGCCTGTATCAGTCTCCGAATGTTGCCATAGAGTATCCACGGGGGCGGTCAGACAGCCGATACTAACCTCCAGTTCAGGCTCCCGATGCACGAGTCCAGGCACCCCTGCAGGTAGCGCTGCAGCTGCCTGTCGACCTCCTCGCCCCAGATGGGCATGTCGAGCTGCGCCAAGTGCCAGCGCCGGATGGCGGTGACGGTGAGGCCCCCGGCCCGGTCGAAGGCCTGCTGGGTCGTCATGCCCTGGCGGCGGAGGATGTGGATGATATTCTGCGTGCCGCAAGAGGCGAGCTCTTTTCGGTATGACAGGATGTCGTTTTGGCTACGCCGCGTGGTTAGAACCTGCGCCGCTTCTGCTCGGCCGGGCGCTCACTTACAGTGACACGAGATCTATCGACACCATGACACACTCCTGAACGGCCGGGTGGGCCAGCACGTAGTCTGGGAGCTGTATCCCGCATGCGTATCTGGACATGGTGTCGGGTTTCTGGTAAGCAAAGGCGAATATCATATACGGGCCAAGACCCTAGGCAGGGGGGGAACCTACTCCATGAGGGCATGGCAGGGCCGCAAACCCACCGACTTTCGCCGCCAGTGGAGGTACTGCTCAACGCTGATGTCGGCACCCACGAGGCTGGCGCCCGTCTGCCGTACGACACCGGTGATATACTCCTCTATGCACTTTCTGTACCGGGTTTGCAGGGCTAGAACTCACTGGTTAGATAGGCCATGTTTCGCAGGGGGGAGATGTTTGTGTGCAATACCTTTTGATGACCTCTGGATACAAGGATTAGCTCAAGCATGAAAGGGGTCAAGATCGGTGGTTCCAGTAAAACGTACGTTGCGAAACCGCACCCACGTGGTGTAGAACAAGTATCTGAGAGGATGCAGCTCGCGTGATACTTCCTGCTCGTGGTCTGACATCAAGGCTAGAGTGGCCTCGGCCTCGGCCTGGGCGCCAACTGGATCGTCGCGCAGCTCGCCGTCGTCAAACACTTTATTTTGTTTGTTCAGCCACTGTCAGTTCCCTCCCTCTCTTCTCACAGTAGTTAGATCCCAACTTACAGTCGTCAAAGAAGAACACCCAGGTGAGCCAGTCAACCATGACGCGGAGGCCCTCGGCGTCGGCCTCTGGCATCCACATGGAGGCGAGGAGGCTGAAGTTGACTCGGCGGTGTTTCTTGAAAGATGCCGCGTCCAAGCCCAAGAGCCTTTGGTTGGGTAGTAATACAGCTTGTCAGCTTGCATCCCGCTTCATCTCGCGTCTTGACATACTTACTCCTTTGTGAAAGCCTCGGACGCGGGCCTGACGACCTCGTACAGCGGGTTCAGCCGTGGAGAGGGTGACATTATGGACACAAACAGATCAGGCAGGATGATTGTGGTTGCGGCGTCATTCGCAGAATGGTTCTTTGCCTGGGACGTGGACGAGACTTCATGGCGATTGGTAGAAGCATCGTGGGCATGGATGGGAACGAGGGTCTCAGGGGCTTCCATTTTGGCGTAGTCTGGCGTGGGTAACAGGAGAAGAAGACAGTAGCAGCAAACTCGCTGCCGCTGCCGACTATTAGAGAGCAGCTGCCCGGCAACTGTGATATTGGCCGCACAAGAAAAGAGGATGGACAAGTTGAATCACCCCAAGGCTTGACACTTGATTGTTTACTGCTGGGCTCGGGGATCTACGCGCAGCGAGGTGTCCCCGAATAAATACAGCCACGGCCGGCGCAAGCCATCCCTCACCTCGAGAGAGAGATGCCCTCTCGATCGCACCCGCTTCGTCTATAGACTCCACTCAGCAACGATGATACAGTTGGAAACAGGCTCCCCCACGCCCCTTCCCAGACATCACACTCGCTTGGCTTCTCGTGACCGACTGTAGATACCACTGGAGCTGTGGGCCTGGGCCTGGCGGCAAGGGCGACAACCTGCCAGCAGCGGGCCCAACGCGGTGTTGCCCCTAGTTGCTATGTACTTCGTGGCTGCGGCGGCTGCGAGCCGCCGTCCGGTTCCGAAGCGAATCCGTCTGCCATCAGGCTTGTTGGAGCGGCGAAACCAGATTGACATGACATGGGCTATTCTATTTTGACGTCGCTCAGGGAGTCGTGTCAGTGCCGAGCCGGTTGCCGGGACCCGCGCAGGGAGTCGTGTCAGTGCCGAGGCCGTTGCCGGGACCGCTCGGACATTCCCTTTCCAGGCGGCCAGGGTCGCGCGCGGGAACCAGGATCGGCCCGCGGCGAACCCCATCGGCTAAAGGCACGACCCGAGTCGGGTGGCTACGACGTTGCCGACGTTCCATGTAGCAGCAGTGGAGGCAACTCCACGCCGGCGACTCAGGGTGAGCATCATATGCGCCCTTTTTGGACGAAATAGGCAGGTATCTATTAGTGTCGTTGCTTTCCATGTGCACGCCACATGGATCCAAGCGCTTACTCGGACTCGTGCAGGTCTATCGCCAGGGCGATTCGTGTCCGATACGCGTTGGTCTTTTTCCCCCCTTTTTTGGTCATACCAATGGTCAAGTATAGAAGGGGGCATCGTGTTTAAATGGACCGACGTACGGCGTATGGCATAAGACAGAAAGATACCAGGTACACCTCTTGGCCTTATCGACCGGCAACTAAGACAATTTGTTGCCATTTAGAGCAAACCGGAACGAGCCCACACATAGAGACCATCTTACCTCTCAAACCAACCAGTCGTACCAGAGCAAAGCGGAGGGACCATTGAGCAATACCGTTACCCCGTCTATGATTTTTGCCATCTCATCATGAGCTCTTCAGGCCGGATAAACATGCCATCCCCGGCGCCCGGAGCCGGGCCCGAGCCACTGGCCATGTTTAGGACCCCCGTCTTTGGCCTCGGGCTATCCGTGGTCATCGCCGCCGTCTTCCTCGGCCGGGCCTTCGGCGGCAAGAAGCCCGCGTCCGCGTTCCCGTCCGTCGACCACGACAGGTCCAGCTACAACTTTCTGGGCGACGCCTACGGCATGGTCGAGAAGGGCAGGAGGCAGTGGCCCGGGAAGCCCTTCTTCATCCAGGGCGAGAACGGGCCGCTGCTGGTCATCCCGCCCGGCATGATCAACGATATCCGCGCCCACCCCGCCCTGAGCTTCATCCACACCGTCCGGGAGGACTTCCACGGCGGCCTGCCCGGGTTTGAGGCCTTTACCCTGGCCTCGCGCGACGACCGCCTGTTGCAAAACGTCATCATCAGGCACCTGACCAAGTACATGGGTGAGCGCGCGCAGAATTCCAGCTCGAGGGAGTCTCACTTCGTATCTGTATGACGACGGCTAACGCCGCCATAGGCACCATCTTGCACTCCCTGTCTGAGGAGGCAGCCTTCGCTCTACACACAAACTTTGGAGAATCAACGGGTTGGTCATCTCTCTTTCGCTCGCGAAATGCATACATGGAGGTGTTACAGCAGATCACGCCAGCCTAACACACTTGTAGAATGGCGCGAGCATTTGATACGCCCCGCCATCCTCGACGTAATCTCCCGCGTGGCGTCTAGAGTCTTCCTGGGCGAAGAACTATGCCGTGACGAGGCCTGGCTCGAGGTAACCAAGGAGTACACCACGGCGGCCTTCATGGCCGCCATGGCCCTGAGGCAGAGGCCCGCACACCTGCGCTTCATCTACCAGTGGTTCGAGCCCCTCTGCGCCGAGCTGCGCAGGCACCGCGACAGGTCCAGGGCCATCATCGGCCCCGTCCTGGAGAGGAGGCGCGCGGCCCGCCGCGAGGCGCTCGCCCAGGGCCGGCCGGCCCCCGTCTTCGAGGATGGCATCGACTGGTTCGAGCAGGAGGCCCAGGGCAGGCCCTACGACAGCGGCATGGCCCAGCAGGCCCTGGCCGCCACCGGGAACCACACCACGTCCGACTTCACCACAAAGTTCATGCTGACCGTCGCCCAGCACCCGGACCTGATCCGCGAGATGCGGGACGAGATCGTCGCGGTGCTCAGGGCCGAGGGTGGCTTCACCAAAGCGGCCCTGGCCAACCTGAAGCTCCTCGACAGCGTCATGAAAGAGACACAACGCCTTCAGCCTATCGCCACCTGTAAGTTCCCCCTCCCTCTCTCTCCCTCTGCTCTCTTTTGCAAATCACCATCCGCCATTCTCCCTACGCCGCCGGGGACGCAGACCCCCAGACACTGACCACAGCGTGGGAGGGGGCAATCCCGTCAACAGGTGTCCTTGCCCGCATCGCCACCGACGACGTCCGCCTCCCCGACGGCACGCTCATCCCCAAGGGCACCAACCTCGTCACCGACGGGGGCTGGCGGCTGAGCCCCGACGTGTACGAGGACCCCCTCGAGTTCGACGGGCACCGCTTCCTCAAGTGGCGAGGCACCGACAGGGAGCAGACGGCCCACTTCGTCAGCACGGCGCCCTCCCACACGGGCTTCGGGCACGGCGTCTACGCCTGCCCCGGGCGCTTCTTCGCCTCCAACGAGAGCAAGGTCATCCTGTCCCACCTCATCATGAAGTACGACTGGAGGCTGGCCGAGGGCTCGAGCGCCGACGCGCCGATACTTGGGCTGTTTGTGGACGCCAACAGGGCTGCCAAGGTCTTGGTGCGGAAGCGGCCTGTAGTTGAGCTGGACCTCGACTCTTTGAGCATGTAGATGCGGTGGGACGGCGCCGTGAGGTTCCTTGAACGAGCAGATCGGACGACAGGCAATATTCTATGGCGGTTAGAGGCAGATAGACTAAGGCTCTTATTCAGCGCCACCCATTAGCCCATTAGGGGAACATCAATGATGTTTGGCGTTGATATCAGAAAGTCCCAGCATCTGCATGTTCAATGCTGCATCTTGCGATTCAAGCCACTTCGCACTATATTGTATGCTCTAGAAAGCCCCGCGCCCTCCTTTCACCACAAATTTCCATCACTAGCCACCTTACAAGCGCAAGTGAATGTAAGGCCTATGGCGAGGCCAGCAAGCAGAATATCAGACAGGCCACGGCGCTACAAGTCGGGTAGAATTATTTCCGACCACCACCAGGACGCTGAGTCGATGCGAGAAACCCCTGAAGCTCCGGCCGCGGCAGAAAAGTGGAAATGTTGCTGCCGGGTCGGATCATATTGCAGCTACAGTATTAGCAGTCATACCAGCCTTCTGGCCCCAAGTCAAGCGGGAGAGCGCGAGTCCAGACATGTACTATAAGTCATCGAGGTTCTCGTCAATGGGAGATACAGATAGGCCAGGATCCATGCTGCCATATCGTCAGGACAACCTATGCGACCGGAATCGCCCGCCAGAGGCCTAGTATCTGAAATACCGGTGCTGCCCGACATCACAGAAAGCAATCCATGCACATGTTGGGGAGGCCAGGGGGGTAAGGCAGCGGAATCCAGGGAACACCCCGGCCGCACCAGGTTACCTGCACAATCCAAAGCGGTGTGCTTACTCGCGGCCCTATATGCCCCTTTAGTATAAATGAACGCTTGTCTATTACAAACAGCCATAACTGGATTCTATGGCGTAACATCTTGGGCGCGCAAGCTCTAGCCTTAACCTCGCTCCATCCATCATCGAAAAAGAAAGTCGGCTTCCACGCAGACGCGAAGCGACACCATGGCGTCTAACAACACACAGCTTGACACCCACGCCAAGGGCGAGCTCCAGGCCTCCTCGCCCCCGAGCTCGCCGCCCCCACGTGATGACTACCTCCATGGCCCCAAGCTATTTGCCGTTATCTTTGCTCTCCTTCTGGGCATGTTCTTGGTATGGATGGGACAAATTGCTTCCGAGATGGTTGCCACGTGCATACACAAGATAGAACCCCCGAAACTGACAGGCTCGAATCCCGTACGAACCCCGCGGCTCAAAGGTTGCCCTAGATCTGGTAAGCCACACACACTTTGATGCGCTTACCTTTTGCGACCAGCCAAAGCAGAGTCCAGAGCAGATAGCTGACTACGACGCGTAGACCATTGTAGCCACCGCCGTCCCCAGCATCACCGCCGAATTCCGCGTGAGTTGACCCCTTCCCCTTTCTCCAATTCTGCTCTGTCCCTTTTTTTGAGGCTGACGCAGGGGGGCTCCAGTCGTTCGAAGATATTGGCTGGTACGCGGCTGCCTTTTTCATAACCTTGGCCGCCTTCCAGTCGCTCTGGGGCAGGGCGTACAAGCACTTTGACCTCAAGCTCGTCTTCTTGACCACCGTCCTGCTATTCGAGCTCGGGAGCCTGATTTGCGGTAGGTAGGCCTGATACGTAAAAAAAAAAAAAATGTTGCCGGCACACGCAAAGAGCGCACCTGTCGCTGACGTGAACAAAATCAGGGGTCGCCCCGACAAGCCTCACCCTCATCGTGGGGCGCGCCGTTGCTGGTCTCGGCGGGGCTGGCGTCACCGGCGGCATCTACACCATTGTGGCGTTCATCGTGCCCCCGGCAAAGGTGCCGACCTATATCGGGTTTGTGGGCGCCGTCTTCAGCGTCGCCAGCGTCGCCGGTCCCCTCCTGGGTGGCGTGTTTTCCGGCGAGGTGACATGGCGATGGGCGTACGTCGTCCCATATCCCCCCATCCCGTCCGTTGCTTCCTCGCGCCGCGGCTGATTTCTCCTCCTAGGTTCTACATCAACTTGCCCGTCGGCGCCATATCTGTCATTTTGCTCGTCGTCTTTTTCCACACGCCCGCCGCGGTCAAGCCGGTCCCGATCGACCCCTTGGGCTTACTGCTGTCGCTGGATGTTCTGGGCATCGTCCTGTCCCTGGCCTTTAGCACTTGCTTCACCATCGGGATGCAGCTGGGCGGTGTCGCCGAGCCATGGTCTTCTCCAAAGGTCGTTGGAATGCTCGTGGCCTCGGCCGTCCTGGCTATCGCCTTCTGCCTGGACCAGTGGCTCTGCGGCGAGAGATCCTTGATTGTGCCTCGCCTAATAAAGCAGCGGACCATAGCAGCGCTGTGCCTCTTCATCTTCTTGTACGCCAGTATCCCCAACGATCCCCCGAGGTGGGCCAGCTAACCCGGAGACGGACAGCCTGAACGCGACGAATTTGTCCATCCTGTACAGCCTGCCGCAATACTTCCAGGTCATCAACGGAGTCTCGCCTACCATGAGCGGCATCCGCAATCTTCCCATGATCTTTACCACCGCTCTCGGATCGATGCTCAGCGGGACCCTCCTTGGTCGCCACGGCCGCCACCAGCTCTTCCTCGTCTCGGGCGCTGCCTTGCTGATTCTCGGCACGGGGCTCATCTACACCCTCAATCAGGGTTCCTCGCTCGGCCAGATCATCGGGTACCAGATCATCGTCGGCTTCGGCATCGGCTGGTGCGTCCAGGTGCCTGTCACCGTCGCCCAGGGCCTGGTCCAGCCACAGGACGTCGCCGTCGTGACCGCCCTGGTGCTATTTTTCCAGCTCGTCACGGGCGCCATCGGGGTCGCCTCCGCGCAGGCCGTCCTGGCCAACCGCTTGGTTGCCGCGCTTACGCAGCTGGCGCCCGGTCTGGAACCGCACAAGGTCCTAGCCGTGGGTGCGCACGAGATCCGCCTGGTCTTCCAGGGCGCCGACCTAGACAATGTGCTGCGAGCCTATATGACGGGCCTGCAAGACTCCTGGGCCATGTCCGTCGGACTGAGCGGCTTAACCGTTTTGTCCACCTTCCTCGGCGACTGGAAGAATCTCAAGAGCGCCCGGGCAAACCCCGTTGATTCCAGCAGTTTGGAAAGCGAGGACAGAAAAGGATCAGCTTAGCATATATGAGCAAATAGCCGCGGGTTTCACCTCTCAGCCATGCATTTTCCCGACATTTCCCAGATGCCGTCTTACCCCGTCTCCTCGCTTCATGTGCACGACCTATGGCGCTCCTGAAATTCGAGTCGACGAGCTTGATGGATGGTCGGCAGTGGGATCTGGGTTCGAAGGCCCGAGCTGCTGTAACAATAACTAAACAACCTGGTCAGTGGAGCGTACTACTTCATCCAGATGCCCGATTCAGCACAAAACCCGGCGATTTCACGACGTTTGCCCCGCGCAGTGCGCCGTTATCGTCATCACTTCGATAGCGCGGGAGACAACGTCGACGGCCAGCCAGCCATTGCACGTGCTCCGCGGCACCAGTGGAACCGCGCTCCAGCGCTCGTCGACATGTGGCGAGTAGACCGATGCACATGACGCGGACGGGATTAACTGTCTCTTTTTCCCCAGCCACTGCCCGGCGCTCTGTCACATCGAAATGTATTTGTGCAAGCATGGATTGAGACGCTAGGAAGCTGTGTGCCACTTTGGAATCAGGTGGTTTAGAGAAATAGTTGCAGAAAAACGAAAGGAGCGATGAGCAGACTCACCTGGCGTCTGACGCACACGGCCAAGCCAATCGAGCATTGAACCACGCGTCCTCTACCACATCAGACGGGACAGCGGAGCAGGCTTTCGGCTGGCTATCGTCCGTCTTGTTTCGCTGTTTGCAGCCAGCGCTAGGAAAACGTGCTTAGATCGATGGAGTGGCCGAGACGGCAAGCTGCAGGCGGGTGCCGCCACGCGGATGGAAATGCCGTGCAGTCCAATCAGACCCAATGGGTGAGTGGCTGGACGAGCCACATCACCTTGACCACCATACAAGGCCGCCACGTCCAGGTACCCAAACCTACTAGTTGGCGTTGGCTTGACACGCTCGTCCTGGATTGAGAATTTTCCATTGAGTGCTTTGCCCGGTACGTAGCCTCGCTAGCTTGGAGACATCTTGGTCTCTGATACAGCAAGCCAGTTGCAGTATCGTTGTTCCTGCACGTGCCTTGGTCTTTTTTGTGGCGGGGCAGGTGGGGCGGCGCCCATGGCCGGGGCCTAAGCAAGGATTTGGTGGTGATGGCTGGGAGCCGCTCGATGACATCAACGTTTTCCATCTTGCCCTGTTTCCCAGCGCAACCGACAGAGCCAGACCAAACAGACGACGGCAGTACGGCCCACCAGCTCCCGACCGCGGCCGAGACTCGGCGACAGATTGATGGTTCCATTCTGAGAGCAGGTTTGTTCTTCACTACACGCGCACGCCAATTTGTAGCGACGATGCCTAGTAGGTAGTGAGTGCGACCCTTTGCGGGCACGGGATGAGTCCACATATTTTTCTCAGATGAACCCAATTACAGTCACAAAAGCTGGTGATTTCCCGCATTGACGGGCGGCATCAAGTGTCCTGCGTCCGCCCCTCCTCCACCCACAACTTTGATGGTTGGAAGTCGGGCTTGAACCGCTAGCCGAGATGGACCCCTGTCGTGCGCTAGCGCGCTGCAACCGTCGGCGTCCTCCAGCTCGGGCCAATTGGAGGCTGCCAACGCTGGCTCGAGCAAGGCGGACAGGGGTTTGTTGATCGGAAAGATCCACCTGCGACAACGACAAGGCTTGACCGACCTCATCACCATCGGGCCCTTTGCTTCTTCTGCTTCTTTTTCCATTGCCAACCTCCCATGACGCCGCAGCTGCCACCAATCACCAGGCCCATCGGCCCTTCCCGGGAATTTTCCCTCTTATTGCAAATTTGTTTCTGTCATCCGAGCTGCCTTGTCCAACGTTCTTCTCCTCCCCAATGCGCCGCGAGCATCTCCTTGCGTTGCAGTCCCTCTCCCTGGCTGGTTTCCATTTTCAGCGTCCGTCATCTACTGGAGGACTCGAGTGACACTCAAATCCCTTTAATCATACCCTCTGCCGGACTGCCGCGTTTGCATCACACCACGTTACGTATCGTGGGAAATGGGTGGCCGGGCACCCGCATGCAGTCGCTGCGGAGCCGCCCCTGGCCAGATGGCAGTGTGGAAATGGGCGGGTACCTGGCCTTGTGAGACATAATGGGAGAATTCCGTCATGATCAGGGAGGACAAGCGAGGATCCAGTGTTCTCGTCACCCCGCCGCCCTCCCTGCCCCTCCCACCACCATCCACGAAGTTGTCGGTCGTTGGGCTGCAAGGTGAGAATTCCGTGCGCCTGGTAGCCATGGCAAAGAGGAAAAGGCTCCCGGCCGGAAGAAGTTGGCACACCAATAGCACGCGCATATTAAAAGATTTAGTCGTTATCGACGTGGCCTAGGCCTAGTCTGCCTAGTAGATACATGAGTACAGGCCTGTTCGGTTCTAGCGGGTTGTCGAGTCTCGATCTGGCATGGCCGCTAGAATCGGGTTCGAGTGTTTCCCAGCTGGTGAAAGGGTACCCCGGTCACTGACATCAGAGAAAGGTTGACAAGGTTTGATGCAAGGTCAGGGATCTCGCAGCGAGCGCCGTCCACTGAGGAATTAGGTGTTGGAAAACAAGGTTGCGGGGGGAAACAGGGAGCCACACCATATTTGGGAGATCTGCGTGCGTGATGGATGGAACCGCAGCTGGCGGGCTGGAAACCTCGATTGGAGAAGTGCGTAAGGTGCTGCCCGTAGTCGACGTCGTCGTTGACGCGGGAAGGAGCGGTCGGGCGCGGGTTGGACAAGCAACACTCCATGTGGGCAGCTCCTTCCCGATCGAGATTCCAAGGCAGGCAGCTGGGGGTCACTTACACTGGTGCCGTCACCGTGACTTCCATCTAGCTGCGCACACAAGCCTTCCATCCGAACGAGAGCTGCGCCCTCGCGTCCATCGTGCCAGCTCGCGGTCCTTAAATTCGGCCAGAACCAGACGACGGCACTCGCCCTCCTCCGCTCTCACTTCCTCCTCAGCCACGAACCAGACGCTTGCGACTTGGCTGGAAACCACCACCCGACGAACACAACCTACCCGCAACGTCCCACAAGGTCGCACCTCGCCCGAATTTATTTAACCACCCTCCCGCCCACAACACCTTTCCTCGCCTCCTCCCACAACATTGGATTCGACTCACCCGCTCACTCTCGGTTTTCCACCTGGCCTCTGCCTGTTGCGCCACCTTCGGTCGTGATTCAACCCAGCAAACCTACACCTGACTTAGCGACCGCACTTTGGAGTTCAAGGTTTGTCTTCCCATGTTCCTGATGTCAGGTTTGCTGCCGCCGACCTCGTGTTTTTTTTTCTCCTCGCCGCGCGCCGCCTCTCTTCCTATTTTCGCATTCCCACTGCCATCCTGCCCAGACACTTACCCTCTCGACCACTCTCTCGCTTGAAATCGTCACGGCTTCGGCCAAACATTCGTTGCTACGATCTTCCAGAACGCAACATTCTGAATTCACCGCTAACTCGCAACTGACCAGCTTCCATCTTCCGTTTGCGACAATGATTTCCAACATGAAGATCACTTCCCTGGTTGTCGGCACCCTGGCCGCCGTTGCCGGAGCCCAGGACATGTCGGCATTCCCCCAGTGCGCCGTAAGTGACTCTTGATGTGACAAACTCTTCTCGACGCCACGCAGGCCGGTGTCGTCTGTTTTGGCCAGCTGCTAATGTTTTCATTCGCGATGTTTAGCAATGGTGTATCAACAGCATGCAGCAGGCCAACAAGTCGCAGGAGCTTGGATGTGCCGCCAACGACGCTGCATGCGCCTGTCGCAACCAGAACTTCCTCTACGGTGTCAGGGACTGCTCAGCTCAGCTGTGCGCCAGCTTCGACACTGCTGGTCAGGCCATTGGCTTCGCGAACGAGTACTGCCGCAACCAGGGAGTTGATCTGAGTACCGTTACTACCGGCCTTCCTTCTCAGTTTACCAACACCAACATGCCCACTGGCTCTGGAACTGGTACTGGAGCCGGCACCGCCGGCGGCTCGCAGTCTACCGGCGCCACTTCGACCATGATCTCTACGGCCACCGGGTCCAGCAGCGGAACTGCCGTTTCTGTCTCGTCTGCCACATCCACTGTTCCCATTGTCAGCACCGTGACCACGGACGGATCCACTTTCTCGACCACCGTTGGCTCCTCGACCCTGACCACGCAGACGACTGCTGCTGCTGGTACCACCGGCGGCGGCAACGGCGGCACCACCGGCGGCAACGGTGGCACCACCGGCGGCAACGGAGGTGCCACGACTAGTTCGAACCCCAACTACGTAAGTACCTCAATTCTGTGACAAATCAAACACAACGCGCCATATGGGCAGAAGCTGATAGTTCTCTCCCATCTAGGCTCCGCAGATGACTGCTGCCCCCGCCGGCCTCCTGGCTGCCGCTAGTGTCGCTGTCTTCCTTCTCTAAATGGGGAACTGAGGGCGGCTTCTTCTTTCATTTGACCATGCTCGGAACGACGGCGTATGACGAGGCTTTAATACCCACTTTACCTACCTTCTCACCTACCTAATATCCTCGGTACCTCTCTGAGCATACCACTGCATTTCCCCCGAGCACGATGGTTCATTCCGGTATCATGCGCTGGCCGAAGCAGCAAGCAGAGGCGGTTCGTTTGGCTCATGGGCAAAGTTTTCATCGGGTTTGAGTTTGATGTTCAAGTGAGCGCAAGGCGAAACCAAGGACTGTTTAATGGAATATCGGCGTTGGCGACGGTGCATTGGACTTTTTGGAGGATTCATGGATCAACCGGAAAGGACACATCTTCAGGAGGTTTTTGATGACTATGTTCTCGATGTTCTTTTTGCTCTCAGCCAGGTTTTTTCCTCTTCTGACTTTTCTGCAGCTCGACTAGGGAAATACAACAATCCAGTCCATAGAAGAACTAAATCGGAGCTTTACTACTTTTAGACTGACGTGATTCATTTCTTAGGGATGTTGTGTCGTGACGCTCAAAAACAGTTGGGATAAGCATGGAATTAGCTCTAAGACCCTGAGCTCTAACTTTGTCAGGCTTCGATCGAGCGTTGATAATCAGCTCATGACAACATCAACCTCGAGATGCAGGCCTCCACAGCCCCCATGAGCAGCATCCACAACGATTGTTGTAGACGTTTCCCAGGGAACCACCTGACCTACGTACTGAGACTGAACAGTCATCGCCACCGCCGTGACGCAAGTGTCTGGCTTGCAGACCCGGACGGACAAGACACCCATATATATCCATATCGCACGTGCTCATGGTCTGGCCCTCCCGAGGGCTTGGTCGCTCATCATCGAAAGGCCAAGGCGCACAAATCTCCCACAGACAACAAATACCCACGGTGTCACGTCGCAGAGATTCAGGGCGGTTTTTTTGGGGTCCTTGTTTGTTTTGTCTTTTATTCAGTTCAACTTCACCTGGCCCGCCATCCATGACACAAAGGCGGAATAACGGTTAAGTCCACTCCTCTTGGCCACACAGGGCATTCTCCTTCCCCAGGCCCGGCCACGCAGCGGCCGGGGTCCTGGATCGGGTTTCTTTCCCTCATCAGTGCGCACCAAGTGTAACCCAAGTCCATGAGAAAGCCGAGTGATGAAAGCTCTACAGACGGCCCTTGTTTCCCAAGTGTTGTGGGGAGTATGTTTTTTTGGATTCCTAGCAAAATTCCCTCGAGACGCCAACTCCGTACCGTGCCCATGCCGTTTTGTTTGAGAAATTGGATTACCACTGGCTAGCCTCCTTGGCCGGGGTGGCCTCGTCCCAGGAGGCGGCGCCCTGGGCGGCGGAGTCCCAGTTGGCAGGCTGGGCAGCAGCATCGTCCCAGCCGGGCTGGGCGGTGCCGGTGAAGCCGGCAGGGGCGGCCTCCCAGTCGCCACCAGTGTTGGCGAAGCCCGACTCGATGGCGGCAGGGCCGGCCTCCTCGACGCCGGGCACCTTCTCCTCCTCGACCTTCTCCTCGGCCTCGGCCTCGGGGTCGCGGTCTGAATTGGTAGCATGTTAGCAGCCGAAATGGGTCACATGTAGAGGAGCAAAGACGCGGTCACGAGAACTCGTCGTCTGCGCAAGAGAAACTTACAGAAGTACAGATCGACCATGACATCCCACGGGGTCTCGCGGTTGTAAATGGTGCCGCGGAGACGGAGGACCTCACGAGCCAGCATCCACCAGACGCAGCCGATGGCGTGGCGACCCTTGTTGTTGGTGGGGATGGCAACGTCGACGTACTCGGTGGGCGAGTCGGTGTCACACAGGGCAATAACCGGAATGTTGACGTAGCTCGCCTCCTTGATGGCCTGGGCGTCGGTGCGCGGGTCGGTGACGACGATCAGGCGCGGCTCCTTGAAGGAGCGGGTGATGTAGTTGGTGAAGCTACCGGGCGTGAAGCGACCGGCGATGGCCTGGGCGCCGGTGTGGGCGGCGAACTTGAGGACGGCACGCTGGCCGTAGGGACGGGCCGAGATAACGCAGACGTCCGAGGGGTTGTCGATGGCGGTGATGATGCGGGCCGCGAGGACAATCTTCTCCCTGGAGATGGCGCAAAAGTCGTCGGCAGTTAGCTCTCCGCTCTGGCGCTCACGCCCCAGCCCGGCATACTCTGCGACACGCTTTCCGCTCCAAGTGTGCGCCAGCGCCGGAGCCAACAGAGAAGGGGCTGCTCACCAGGTCTTGCCGGCGTTGATGATGTTGACACCATCGGCACGGGTCTTCCACAGGTAGGGGTTCATGTGAACCTGCAGGTTCTTGGAGCCGATATGCGACTGCGCAGCCAGGAGCATCTCGATGTCCTGGCTGGTCGCGTTGAAGACCGAGGGGAGGTTTGCGGGTGCCATTGTTGCGACGGCTGTTGTTCCTTCCTTGCGAGGGTGTGTGGTTGAGGATGAAGAAATCGACAAGCGAGCAAAGTGCGCAAGGGAATTTTGCCCTTTCTTCTCCTCCGTCTTTTTTTTTCTCTTTTCCGATTTTCGTCGATAGCCTCGTCTTTTTGCGCCAGGGCAAATTGTGTGGGCTTGGGGCGTAGGTGGGGGCAAGCTAGCCTGGCCTGCCCCTCTTTGCGTGCCAGCTCTGTGGTGGGCCGAAAAGCGCAGCTGATTGGTCCAAGCGTAAGAGGTCACGCTAAGCCTGAAAGGGACAGATAGGATCCAAATTTTGCCTTTGCGTGAGGCTCGGCATGAGCAGGCGCTTTCTTCGCACGCGAGCTCTGATACGGCTCCCGTGCCGCCACTACCAGCCATGCCTCCAAGAGTAGCCTGCCCGCAGGGGTTCAGTCTTATAACATGTAAGCTGGCCACCGCTACTTGTGTATACCAATTGGCCATGCCGCACCGAAGATCGAGACCGGACCGCTGACGCCATGTCCCCCCGCCTAACAGTATGCCTGCGGCCCGCGGTAAGGCCAACACTGGCGGCGGCGGCGGCGGCGGCGGCTAGCCTTCAGCCGCTGGTGCAGACGGCCAGCATATCCCTGAAGGAGAAGAAGCGGAAAGCAAAGATAGACCCGTACTGGTGGGAGCAGTCGCAACAGAGGATAGCGAAGAACAAGCAGCGGCAGGCCGAGCTGCGCGCCATACGCGACAAGGAATGGGGCAGCCCCGTCCATGGCATCCCGACGCCGTTCGTCGAGTCCCTTGACTCGGCCGGCCAGGAGGCCATGTCGCGGGTGGTGGCGCGCGACAAGGACGGCAACCTGGTGGACGCGGAGCCCCAGCCGCTGCCGACGTCGCCGCACCTGCTCAACTACCAGCTCACGCGGGACGAGCTGGAGCGGGCGCTGGCGGACTCGTACCGCCTCACCCGGCCCGTGCCTAACCCCAACGAGAGCGAGGCAATGCGGCTGGAGAACGAGCGCCTGCACCAGGAGCGGCACCAGAAGGCGGCGCTGGCGCTGCAGCGCATCACGGCGCTCGAGAACGCGAGCTCTGAGGACCGCAGGCACGCAAACATCCGCCGCTGCATCGAGACATTCGGCCGGCACGCCACGGACAACTTCCTGAGGCCCAAGCCGGTGCCCGTCGGCGTCAAGCCCCTCGAGCCGGTTCCCCGCGCAGGGCCCGACACGGGCTCGTCCGAGGTCCAGATCGCGATCCTCACGACCAAAATCAGAGTCCTCGCACGCATGTACGAGGGGAAGCACGGCAACGGCGACAAGGTCAACAAGCGAAACCTGAGATTGCTGGTCCACAGGCGGCAGAAGCTCCTCAAGTATATGGAGAGGAAGGAGCGGGGGAGCGAGAGATGGACTCATATGCTCGAGAAGCTTGGGCTGACCCCAGCGACCTGGAAAGACCAGATCGCCATCGAATGATGGGCCTGATGATGCGTTTTGTATGTATATCTCCCCAGGGCTCCCACTTGGGACTCGAGATGATCCCAACCCAATCTCTTACCGTCAACAGTTCGACACGGGGAAAAGGGGACTGTGATATAGATGTGTAATTTTGCGGTGTAAAATACATGCAGTCTCGGCAAGATCGACACCGATCTCCCTTCCTGCTTTGCTGCCCAGGCTGCGCCATCCCATGATCTGCGGGCCGACCGCCATTTAGCGGCGTGTTGGCAAAGGCCTCTGGTATTACCTTTTACCCCAAATTCGAAAGACAATAAAAGGAGCCAAACTGAAATAAGCCAAAAGATTCGCCGCATGGGACAGAATGATAGCAAAAGGAGAGACACAGTTACTAACTAGAAAATCAAAAGCAGAAGCCAACCAAACCCAAACAGCAGACTAGGTGTGATCAGAACACACTAATGTAATTTCCAATGCGCTCCTTCTGGTTCTGCGCGATACACTCGGCGATCCATGTGATGTTGCGGATCTCTTGCTCTCTCAGCTTGACCCAGGCGTACACTATGGCGAATGTGAACTGGCGCGTGAAGGCGCTCTTGGAAATCTCCATCTCCTTCTGGTAGAACATGTCCTCGAGGCTCTTGCCCTCAGACCCGCCGGCCGTACCCCCGCCCATGTTACCAGGGCCGGCCGGCCCACCACCGAGCCCCGCGGCGTCGAAAAAGGCCTTGTAGTCGGGGACTCCGTCGACGGCCAGGCGGACGCCCTCGAAGTCGTCGGCGCGCGACAGCATCAGAGTGCCCTCCGGGTACAGACGACCAAAGGAAGGGTACAGCTTCTTGCGGTCTCCCTTGTTGAGCTCGGTGCCGAACGAGTTGAGCGTAATGTTGATGGCGCGGCGGTCGGCCTCGAACTCGAGGATCTCGGACATGACCTCGGCCGTCGGGGTGCCAGCCATCTCCGGGTGCGAGTTGACAAAGTTGTAAAAGTCCTCTAGGTAGTTCTTATAGAGCGTGTTACGGACGATCTCGATGTTGAGCTCGTCCAGATCCTGGTGGCTCAGGCTGCCCTTGAAGTATGGGGCCAGGGGCGTCTCGATCAGGACGCTGTTGTAGAGCTCCTCGATGTTGGTGGCGACGCAGAGCACAGGCATGGTCTCGAACCAGCCCAGCGGGTGGCAGCGCTCTAGCAGCTCGCGCGTGTCGCGCTCGTGCAGCGTGCCAGTGATCAGGAGCGCCACATTGTCGATCATGTAGCCGTAGGTAAGGTAGTCCATGAACTGAGCCAGCGCTCCCACGGCATTGGCGCGCACGTACTTGAACTCGGAAACCAGCTTCTCCGTCGTCTTGGACGCCAGCGCCGATGTTGACGGGTTAGGGGGCAGCGAGCCCAGAAAGTCGCCGTACGAGGGGCCGAGCTGGAGCTTCAGGTCTGGTGTCGGCTTGCGCGTCAGTCAAGATGTGACGAGAACCAATGGATGGAGAGCCTGGGAGGTGGACGAACCATCGACCGTGTCGCATTGTGTCATGTTGGCGTAGTTGGATGATGTGAGGAGGCCGTTCCGGTAGCCCCGGACGATGCCCTCTATGTAGCTTCAGTAGAGGCGGGAGGAAGTCAGCTTGCGCGTCGGCTACAGCGCGTGGACGGAGCTTGCCTACCCATTATTTACGTTGAAGAGAAGACCCTCCATCTTGGAATTGGGCAAGAGCGACGGATTAACTCTGCGGGCGACGGCGGGTTGGGACTGAAGGGCGAGCTGCAGGATGGGGTCGGAGGCGGCGGCGGTGGTTCGGGGCGACGTCGTTTGTCGGCTGGGAACGCTCAGAGCCGGCCGCCCTGGAATCGAGGCTCCATCGGGCGGTGTTCGGAATCGGTACCCCCACTATTCTGCATTAAGACTAGCGGCCGAGCTTGCATCAGCCCCACCTGCATTGGAAAAGCTTTTGGAGAGGAGAAAAAAAAAGTGAAAGCTCCAAGAGACGAAAAAAAAAATCTGAAAAAGTCGGCGACTGTGTTTTTGCCGTGCATCTTTCCACTTCACGACGAGCAACTCCGACGCATCGCCACCACACAGACACAGGCAAGGCGTCGAGGAGAGTAAACTCCGCCAAGATGCCTCTCTTTATTCTCGCCGAGACCAGCGCTGGGTGAGTGCCCCGGACGAGACACAATCCCCGACCCGGACTCGTCTTCCAGACGCGGTTGAACAGCTCGGTTTCGAAGCTGCCAGAGAGTTTCGGCCGACAATTGGCTAACACCCCAAAACAGCTACGGTCTCTTCAAGGCCAAGGACAAGAAGCTCCTAGATGGAGATGTCGAGTCCAGGCTAGACACCGCCGAGATGATCAACAATGAGTAAGTATTGCTACGATCCAGTGCGCCGCCCGGCGCTGCCTCCTCGCCGCCAACTGGGCAGGTTCTGACGTGGCTGCGTACAGGTTGAAGTTGAAGGAGTTCGTCAAGTGGGAGAGCGCCAGCGCCGCGGTGGGGGAGATCGGCGCCCTGCTTGAGGGCAAGGTGCCGCCCATGCTGGCGGGCCTGATGGACGCCATCAAGGATGAGAAGAAGGTCTCGCTTGCCGTGGCCGACAAGAACATTGGTGTTGCGCTGCAAAGGCTGCCTGGCTTCGCCAACATCACCACCCTCGCCTCCGGCTCCGCCACCACGGACCTGTACCGCGGTATCCGAACGCACCTGTCCGAGCTCATCCCCGGCATCCTCCCCGAGAACTTCAAGACCATGTCGCTTGGTCTGTCGCACTCGCTCTCCCGCCACAAGCTCAGGTTCTCGGCCGACAAGGTAGATGTTATGATCATTCAGGCTATCAGCCTGTTGGACGACCTCGACAAAGAGCTGAACACGTACGCCATGCGCGTCAAGGAGTGGTACGGCTGGCACTTCCCTGAGCTTGGAAAGATCCTCAACGACAACATGGCCTACGCCAAGGTCATCCAGAAGATGGGACTGCGCTCCAATGCCCCCAAGGCCGATCTGTCCGAGGTCCTGCCCGAGGAGATCGAGAACGCAGTCAAGGCCGCCGCCGACCTCAGCATGGGCACCGAGATTAGCGAGGAGGACCTGGAGAACATCACGCTGCTGGCGGACCAGGTTGTTTCGTACAGCGAGTACCGCACCCAGCTGTCGGCGTACCTCGAGGCCAGGATGCGTGCCATCGCGCCGAGTCTGACTGAGCTTGTTGGCTACCTTGTCGGCGCCCGCCTCATCGCCCACGCCGGCTCCTTGATGAACCTTGCCAAGAACCCTGGTTCTACCATCCAGATCCTCGGTGCGGAGAAGGCGCTATTCCGCGCCCTCAAGACCAAGCACGCCACGCCCAAGTACGGTCTCATCTACCACGCCTCACTGGTCGGTCAGGCAACTGGCAAGAACAAGGGCAAGATCGCTCGTCAGCTCGCTGCCAAAGCCGCCCTGGGAGTGCGTGCCGATGCTCTGACCGAGTACAAGGACGGTGAGGAGGCCGATGAGGAGGCTCGCGCTGTCTTCGGAGCCGCGCAGAGGGCCAAGATCGAGAACAACCTCAGGAGGCTTGAGGGCAAGCCCATCCTGGCCAAGGGTATCGCCGTCGGCCCTAACGGAAACGCCGCGCCCGCCCCGACCAAATGGGACGTCAAGGAGGCCAGGAAATACAACGCCGACGCCGACGGCCTTGCTGGCAACGAGTTGGCAGAGGCCGAAACCCCTGCCAAGGAGTCGAAGAAGGATAAAAAGAAGGAGAAGAAGGAGAAGAAGAAGCCCAAGAAGGAGGCGACCCCCGAAGACGATGGCATGGAGAACGGCGCAGACGAGGAGGTGGACGATGCGCCCGCCAAGGCCGCTGATGGTACCTACCTCCTCCCCAGTCCCCCTCATTCTATAGAGTATGTGCTAACATGACCTTCTTCTGCGCACCAGCCACTTCCAGCAAGCCGGGCAAAGCCAGCTCTCCTAGCGAAGCAGACTTTGAGCGCCTCGCCGAGCAGGCCGGCATATCCGTTTCCAAGTTCAAGAGGAAGTACGAGCGCGGAGAGGTGGAGCTTGACGCAAGCGGCGCGCCTGTCGTGCACAGCAAGAAGGAGCTCAAGAAGATGCGCAAGTCGCTTGATGCTGTCTCGATCAACGGTGGCGAGAAGAGGAAGCGCGACGACGACGAGGAGAAGCCCAAGAAGAAGAAGAAGAAGCAGACCAGCTCATGATTCCGCCGACGGGTCTGGAAACCATGCTACTTTGTTCTCTCATTTCTTGCTTTCCTTCCTACCTTTCTGCACATTCAAAATCTCGGGGCGCAACATTTGCTGTAAAAACAATCTGCTTTTTGACACCACCGTGGTTTAGAATATCCGGCGTTGAGGGAATGGGGTTCGTTTCGCGCGTTTGTTGGTTTAGGGGGCATGCTCGCTTCACTCGGCGACGTCATTTGTGGTCATCTTCTTCGGAGGTCGTGTCAGTCTGGCATCGATATCCTCTGGTTGGGGTGGCGTAAATGGAGTCCATATCATTTGACAAGGTGATAATGAGAGTCTTCTTTTCGTCCTTTCTCCTCTGGGGGCATTGTTGTGAATAACGACGGGTCTCTACCGCAGCAGGGAAATGGAGCTCAAGCATGGAGTGGGAGGGACATGAAAAGGAGGAGCTGCAGCAGATCCAATCACACGGAGGAGGTGCGGTGGATACGTAAGCAGTCTCCAAGGATGCGCGGGCTTTGGGCATCATCACGACATGCTTGGTGACAAATGTTGGGGCATGGCGTGCCTGATATCACCTCCGATCGAGTAGTCGACGGGCCATCTCGAACCCCTGCGACTTGATTTCTAATCCAGCGAGCCCGTTGCAATATATAACATTTTCGAATCGGCTCTGTGTGCGTCCATTTAAAAGGAGCCTAGAAGTCGTCAAATACTTTGGAGTTGTGCACGCGCCAAATATTGGTTCAAGGGGTCGACATCTGCAAACTCCCTTTCTTCTTACAACAAAGTCTTGAGATAGCTACAACCAAGCACCGCAAGAAAAGCAACCAAACAGGCCCTGCCCCCTTACATTATACACAAACAAACAAAAAAAAAAAAAAAATGGCCGCCCCAACAACCTTCTTCGCCGTCATCGCCGGCGTCGGCCCCGGCACGGGCCGGGCGACGGCGCTGCGGTTCGCGCGCGCCTACCCCGTGGCGCTGCTGGCGCGCAGCCCCGACAGCTACGCGGACCTTGTGCGCGAGATCCGGGCCGCGGGCGGCGAGGCCGTGGGCGTGAGCGCCGACACGTCGGACCCGGCCTCGGTCGCGCGCGCCTTCGCGTCGATCCGCAAGCACTGGTCCCCGGACTGGAGGCTGGCGGCCGCCGTCTTCAACGTCGGCGCCGGCTTCGCCGTCAAGCCCTTCCTCGACGTCACGAGCGAGGAGCTGAGCGCGTCGCTGGTCGGGAACGCGTGAGTTTGGGAGGGACTAGGGTGTTCCTGTTGTTTTCCTCTTCGGTCGTTCCTCTGCAAGGCGGGCGGGG